GGCATGAAGGCAGGGGAAAGGGAGAGACTTCACTGTTTACCTTTTTATTCTTTTCCAATTTTAAATCATTTGAATGTATAACTTGTCTAGAAATCAAATTTTAACAGTTGAGGGAATTAACACTACAGAAAGTAACAAACTTCAAGAAAGCAGCCACCTTCACCAGGTGGATAGTTTACCGCACTCTTCCCACTCTACAGTAGTTACTGAATGCCAGTCTCCTCCCTCCACTCAGTCTGCCCCACCTGCTGGCCTGCTACAGCCTTGGTGCAGTCCTATTCCCGCACCTCCAAACACGTCCATACATTGTGATGGTCTCTCTGGGGCCACTGATTGAGAGGAAATGTGCTGTGTTTCCATTCTTGAGACAGAGTGTTTTTATTTTCTTGAGGTTTGGGATTTTTTTCTTGCAATAACAGGGTTTCTAGATCCCAGTAGGTGAGAAAGAGGTATGCTTTTATTGCATAAGGAATTTGTTTCCGATATATCAAAGTGATGATGTATGACTTTTCTTAAAGAAGTGGTTATTAGAAGAGTTAAAAATCAATGGAAACAAAAAGTCATAGGTATTGTTCCAATACTCCAGGAACATCACAGTTTGGATCCTGCAGAGGTGTGTAAAATAATGTGTAATATTACATTCTGACAACCTCAAATTGAAAAATGCACAGCTGAAGATCACTTATAGTCAATACTACTTTTCAAACTTTAAGTTCATCAAGTCTCTCCCTAATGTATTGTACTTTTTAATAAAGGAAACTGTCAGATACGCTATAATACAGAGGAAAACGTTTATATACTCTTTCATTATAATTTTTCCACAACTTCCAAAATGAAGAAAAAGACATGGAAACATTAAGTTTGGAGAATAATTGTGGCAGGCAATTCCCCCATCCTAAAAGTTCAATTACCCAAACACAGGCATGATTTCTTACTAACTGAAAAGGAACTGAATTCACATATAAAGACAAGCATGGGATTCTGTTGAGTTCTGCTGGACACAGAACACAACTGCCGAAGCACTGGTTGAGCACTTGTATTCTAATAGCTCACGGTTACTGAGCACTCTACGTGTGGGAAGAGCCAGTGCCGGGTGCCTGGCACGCATCCTTGCACCTCATCAGCACAACTATCCTGTGGGCTCATCCTGGTTCACCTATTTTATAAATGAGAACACTAGCACTAGAGAAGTTAAAAAATTTGCCTAAAAACATCCAGAGTAGGTTTCAACATTGCCCACTACTTTATAATGCTTTCCCAAGAGCACTGAGACATTATCAAAACACGTTAGTGAAACAGTCTAAAACATCACAAATTTTAGGTTTAATACAAAATGCCCAGAAAAGGGCAGCATTATTAGAAATCTCAGCATAATGTAATAATAAGAACTTATGATGATTGTATCCTTTTCCTATTTTTTCTCCTGTACAGGCATATTAAATACCATAAAACTTATTTTAGGGGTGTGTATGTGCAGTTTCAAGATAATAATCTAAAACATTTTTAATATGACGAAGTATGGCAATACTAAATTTTTTTTTTTTTTTGAGACGGAGTCTCGCTGTGTCGCCCAGGCTGGAGTGCAGTGGCGCGATCACGGCTCACTGCAAGCTCCGCCTTCCGGGTTCACGTCATTCTCCTGCCTCAGCCTCCCCAGTAGCTGGGACTACAGGCGCCCACCACCACGCCCGGCTTTTTTGTATTTTTAGTAGAGACGGGGTTTCACCCTGTTAGCCAGGATGGTCTCGATCTCCTGACCTTGTGATCCGCCCGCCTCGGCCTCCCAGAGTGCTGGGATTACAGGCGTGAGCCACCGCGCCCAGCAGCAATACTAAATTTTTAAAAGGGATTTTTATTTAGCCAACAGCAGAAAGCAAAAATGTTGTCCAAGTAACATGCATTTATTTTATCCCTAGGAATGTACCCTTCCTTCCACAAAGCATGTGAGATCCTGGCATGTAAATGAACATGACAGACTAGTCATGAAAATAGTGTATATTCAATTCCTTAAATTCTAAAATTGTCTTAGCATTTAACATCCAACACACTAAACAATCTTTTTTCATATTCAAAAAAATAAGGACAAATTCAGTAAATTCAGATGGGCTATTTTATCACGTAAAGTTAAAAAAAGTAAGGGTAATTTTTCAACTGATTTTCTTTTACCCTGATACAAGTCAATGAGAAAGTATGAAATTGAAACATATCACCATTTCTCAGTGCTTACAAATGGTAGTCACAAGGAAAAGCTTCCAAGGTCTTTTGTGTTGTTTTTAAAAGATATTATAATCTCATAATTTGGGAAACAATGTGTACTATTATCAAGAAACCTTTCGTATTTTGTGAAATGGAGCACTTCCCTAATTTAAGAGACTATGGAAACCTTTTTCAGACATTTTTTTAACATCCTCAGAAATGGAAATTCTTGTTAATGCTGATCTGATCAATTCCTCCTAAGTTTATGGACTATCTCTTCACAAACTACAAGCCCCCAAATCAAATTATCTGTTCAATGGTATCTGAAATCAGTTATATACAAGCATCAGAAAGCTTTTCTCCCAGCAACATAGACCCAAAACACACTACTACAAAACAAAAATTATCAAGAACATACAAAAGACATATCTTTTTTTTTTTTTTTTTTGAGATGGAGTCTCACTCTGTTGCCAGGCTGGAGTGCAGTGGCTCAATCTCAGCTCACTGCAACCTCTGCCTCCTGGGTTCGAGCAATTCTCTGCCTCCCGAGTAGCTGGGATTACAGGCACGTGCCACCATGCCCAGCTAATTTTTGTATTTTTAGTAGCGACAGGGTTTCACCATGTTGGCCAGGATGGTCTTGATCTCCTGACCTCAGGTGATCCACCCACCCTGGTCTCCCAAAGTGCTGAGATTACAGGCACAAGCCATCGAGCCCGGCCACAAAAGACATACCTTTTCAAAGCCACAATTACCTCTCACCTGGACCACTGTTCCTCACTGATCTACCTGCCATAACTCTTGCGCCTAATCATCTATTTATATCATAGGAGAGTGTCCCTCTTAAAATATAAATAAGATCATGGTGTTCTTCTTTTCAGAAACATTCAATGGCCTCCCATTCCATTGCTATTAAGCACAAACTACTGACACATCACCTTATGGTTGTGCTGAGATATACTGAACTGCCCTTCTTGTCTGTCCATCTCTAATCTTCTCACCTTCTGACTGTCTGCTCTGCTCACTCTCTTGGTCTCCACAACATTCTTCAAATAAACTCAGCACACTCTCACCCAGAGCCTTTACACTGGCTTCCTCACTGTCTGGGATGCTCTTCTCTCAGGTAATCAAGTGGCTCACTCACTCACCTCTTTAAAATCTGTGTTCAAATACTGCTTTCCATTCATATGGACCCTAAACACCCATCTGTACTTCCAATTCCTTTTTTTTTTTTTTTTTTTTTTTTTTTTGGAGATGGAGTCTTGCTCTGTCACTCATGCTGGAGAGCAGTGATGCAGTCTCAGCTTACTATAACCTCCACCTCCCAGGTTCAAGCAATTCTCCTGCCTTGGCCTCCCGAGTAGCTGGCATTACAAGTGCATGGCACTGAGCCCAGCTAATTTTTGTATTGTTAGCAGAGATGAAGTTTCACCATGTTGGCCAGTCTGGTCTCGAACTCCTGACCTCAAGTGATCTACCTACCTTGGCCTCCCTAAGTGTTGGGATTACAGGCGTGAGCCACTGTGCCCAGCCAGCCAATTCCTCTTAATCAAACTTTATTTTTACCATGGGACTTGCCAAACATGTTATAATTAACTGATTTTTTTTTTAAGAGTTGGGTTACCTAACATTAAAATATAAACTCTCTGCAGAGAATTCTACCTGCTTTGTACACTGATACGATTTCCAACATCTGACATATAGTAGGTATTCAATAAATTCTATTGTCTCAAAGCCAGCTGCAGTGGCACATGCCTGTAGCACCTGCTACTTGAGAGGCTGAGGCAGGAGGATCACTTGAGCCCAGGAGTTGGAAACCAGCCTGGGCAACATAACAAGACACAGCCCCTTAAAAAAAAAAAAAAAACCTATGAAATAAAATATAATGGAACAGAAATAATTGTCACTTCATTTCTAAATCAGTTGAAAATAAATATCCGCCCCAAAAATGAGCAAACCTATAGTAATCCTCTTTAGGATATAACTCATATTGGATTTTAAATTACTATTAAAATATTTTGCTATCTCAAGAATTTAGCAGGCTGAGCAGACCAGATGGCTCGAGCCCAGGAGAGTTCAAGACCAGTCTGGGCAACACAGCAAAACCCCATCTCTACAAAAAAAAAATACAAAAATTAGCCGGGCGTGGTGGCCCACATCCATGGTCCCAGCTACTCAGGAGGCTGAGGTAGGAGGGACACTTGAGCCCAGGAAGCAGATGTTGTAGTGAGCCAAGATCGTGCCACTGCACTCCAACCTGGGCAACAGAGCGAGACCCTGTCTCCCCACCAAAAAAAAAAAAAAAAAAAAATTCAGCTAGAAAAATGTTACATTTACATCGATCAAGAAAATGTTTATAAACCAATAGTTTATGATGCACACTGGTGAATATGAAGTTATACCTGAAGTAATATCAAATGACAGCTTTTCCATTTCTTGAATGTATGCATCAAGTTCTACATTAACTTAAACATGGTATTATCCAAGCTCACAGTATCTGAGAAGGTTTATGTTATCTAGCAACCTAAAGTCAAGCCCTCTGTATTTCCCCACCTGTGATCTTCAAAGATACGGTGCTCCTTGAGATTTCTGAAAGGTAGGTCTGTTCTAAAATGTGTGAAAGGAAGAGAACCTGAAAAGGCAAGGTCTAAGAAGATCACTCATTTGGAAATGGCAAGGGTCACATCAGGGGTTATCTAAGTTAGTGTGATTTACCCTTTGGTAAATCATACACATATTTCAAAAGTTACTTTATATGCTTTAATTCTTGCACACATATTTCATGGAAAATAAATTAGTATTACCTCGACTATCATCCATTTCACCATCCCTTGAATGCTCTGATTGGATGTCTGGAGGGGTCTGAAGGACGGCCACGCTATTCTGATTTATAATCTTCAATTTCAATTTTGGTTTTGACCGTTTTCTTCTTGGAACTGTAACTGTGAGGCTCTGTAACTGAGTCATCCCTGATTCAGTCAAACACACACCATCCTGGGTATAAGTCTTGGGTGGGTCTAAAATTACAAAATCCCAAGAATACAAATTTAAACTTTCATTTTAAATTTGACTGATTACTGTTCCAAAATACCCATGTCAAGGGAATGTGACCGTAGTTCTAGAAAGCAATTACGTATCTATGAAATGCATGAATAATTAACTTCATGATACCCAATAAAAACTAGGAACAATAGGTCAAACTTTCTGGGATTATAGGCAAAAAGGCTGCATGTTTTTAAAAAATGGTCTTCCTGGGCCGGGTGCGGGGGCTCACACCTGTAATCCCAGCACTTTGGGAGGCCGAGGCGGCAGGCGGATCACGAGGTCAGGAGATCGAGACCATCCTGGATAACACAGTGAAACCCTGTCTCTTCTAAAAATACAAAACATTAGCCAGGTGTGGTGGCATGCACCTGTAATCCCAGCTACTTGGGAGGCTGAGGCAGGAGAATCGCTTGAACCCGGGAGGTGGAGGTTACAGTGAGCCGAGATCATGCCACTGCACTCCAGCCTGGGTGACAGGGCGAGACTCTGACTCCAAAAAAAAAAAAAAAGTCTTCCTGCCATTTCTATTTTCATGTCCCAATAAAAAGAGTTAGAAGCACTGCAACTAAACGCAATGCTCAGCTAATCCACTATGAGCTTTTTCCTAGAAAAGATCAAAAGATAGGGATCTATTTACATAAGAGAAGAGAGAATACTCCAGAAGTTCATCTGGAAAAATCAGAGTACCAACATAATTACTAATAGGGAGAGGTGATAAATAAGTACAAATCCTGCAGATTTAATTTTAAATGTACAAAACTGTTGTTCCTTAGAACAATTCCTGTACTATCCAAATGTTTTTGTATCAGGTGCTATTAAATACAAGTATTCAAAAGAATGATTGTTTAATAAGAATATCATATTAATCACCATACTAAGTTTATTATTTTAAAAATTAAGACATTGAATTAATTCTAAAACAAATCTGTTTGCTAACTAGGCCATATTTTCTGCTAACTGATAATTAAGCACAGTAATATATCAATGAATCCAAAGCAAGTATGGCATTAATGGTTATTCTAAGAGCTGTTATTTTTGTTGCCAACTTGCTGAAATTTATAGGAGTACTGCCCCAGTAAAGCTGGACGACATTTTATGTATCATTGTGGAAATGATTACCAACATGAAGGAATTTGGATAGAACACCCATATGATTGAAGCAGGTTTGACGAGTGGTAAGCCAATTATGTAAAAATTAAGCAAAGTAAATTAATTAAATTACGTAAAGCATTTCAAATTTTACCTAGCTCTTTTACTTTTGTGACAATTTGTGCTACAAGTGAAGATTCACAGCAGTCTGAGGAAGGCACTGAAACGAAAAAAAAAAATCCAGGTAATTCTTTTCAGAAAAAGTAAAGTGTATTTAAATACTTATATATGATTAAAATTTGTTTCTATACTCATTTTATTAAAATAAATGTTTGAACACTAAAGTTAAAAGTGGTTTTTAAAGCAACAACAAAACAAGAAGTGGTGAAGGAAATACTCAAGTCATGGAGGAAAACCTGGCTAAGAAAGAATCAATATATTGGATTTTGACATATTGTCAATAACTACAAGATCATGTTCCCTGGAAGCAAAATTATAGTTTACATCTAAAGTATATGCTTTTTATTGTTTCATGTCAATTGTTTTATTAAAAGTTGTGATAAGTCATGTGTAACCAAAAGTAATATTTTTTGTAAAATACTTGTCAAAGTAAGTTTCACAAAGACAAAATAGAGTATAGCTAAGCTAATTCATTGGTTATGGACAGTAAGGTGCAAGTGAGTGGTACAACAGTGCAGACTCACAGTTTAAATTATTCTCTTACCATTAGACGCAGGCATATAGGGTCTGCACATGCTACAATCAAAACCAATGTCTGCTACATTTTCCACTTCTTCCTCAGTATTTAAGTTTTGACAAACTGCATGCATCCATCTAAAAAGACCATATTTGTACATGTTTTTTAAAAAATGGAATATACTGAGAACTGCTACCTTTTAAAACCTGTAACACTGACAGTCTTCAAACTTAAAAGCCCTAAGCCTCACATGCTCCTCCTACCTTGCCCTTTTCTCCTAACTATCCCTATTAACAGAAAACTTTCATAGCGCTAAGAAGGAAATAAAAGGAGCAAGAACAACTATTAGAGAGGAAGCAAAGCACATTACATAAGGAAGCCAATTATTTTATCATCATATATTAAATATTTCAAAGACAGCAAGGAAGCTAGTTAGAGCAAACAGGAAGGTATTCAGAAATATTGCAAATGGCAGTGCTAGCATATATGTGCTCCATGCAATGCATCTAATTTGAAGTAGATATATCTCATGTAAAGCAATGTTGAATGGTAATTGGGAAATAAAGTAAAAAGTTGTCTGGCATTGGAACAAAGAATTAGTAGGCAGAGTCCCAAGAATACTGTACTACTGATGAAATAATACTATTAATAATAATATATGTTCACTGCTTAACTTCTAAAAGAGTACAACAATATACTAATGAAAGCAACGAAATATTCTTGATTTTGAAATTCCACATAATTACGTAGGGCAGGCAGAAGGTGGTATCTAATATCTAGATATCTAGTATTTAGAGCTTTAAGAAAAAGTGGTTTAAGGAGAACAGAATGTGTTAGATATTCTTCATAATTTATTGAAAGATTCAGAAACCTTCCATAAGAAATGGCATAGATGAAGGCAATAATTCTCCATCTAATTTCAAGGGATTTCTAAACCCTCAAAAAGGCCTAAATTAAAAATCTTTAGTCTTGGCCAGAAGCAGTGGCTCACGCCTGTAATCACAACACTTTGGGAGGCCGAGGTGGGTGGATCACAAGGTCAAAAGATCGAGACCATCCTGGCCAACATGGTGAAACCCCATCTCTACTAAAAATACAAAAATTAGCTGGGTGTGGTGGCACGCGCCTGTAGTCCCAGCTACTTGGGAGGCTGAGGCAGAAGAATCGCTTGAACCCAAAAGGCGGAGGCTGCAGTAAGCCGAGATCGTGCCACTGCACTCCAGTCTGGCGACAGAGCGAGACTCGGTCTCTAAATTAAAAAAAAAAAAAAAACAAAAAAAAAACCTTTAGTCTGGAATTGAGAATTCAAAACAGGAAATCACTTCTGTAAGTTTCTAGGTGACTAAAAATCTACAAAGCAAAAAGTTCTGTACCTAAAACTTATGATAAAGGAAAAGCTATTTTCCATTTTCTTTTTGCTACATTTCAAAGAGAAAAGCTTTAAAAAGATGAAAAAATAGCACAATACCTATCACATTGTCTACATTGCAGAATAAGATCTTCTTCTCTATAGTTTCGATAGCAGACTGGACAGGAAGATAAGCTTGCACAAGGAGCGCACTGTGTGTAATTGTTCTGCCATTCACATCTTAGACCTGCAGATGTTGCTCCACAGTGTCTGCACCAAACACACCTGAAATCCAAATCCCCCCGAAAAGTCTCAATTTTATTTTCTTAGTTATTCAGTTACTGTAATTCAGGAAGCTACATACGAACATAATGGGGGAATGATTTAATGTGTATGTGAAAATTTTTCTGATTAGTGATATCTATCATAGCATACGTGTATTATTCAATTAAATAGATGTGGCTAATTTTTAAAAACTAAAGTGGTATGAGAAAGTTCTGAACTTGAAAGACTAGCAAGGCAAACAAATCCTAGAGTACCATTTGCACTTCCAGCCTCCTTTGGGAACTGTCTGCAATGGAGGGTCTAGGCAGTAGGTGTGATAACTTATGTCACAATCATCACACAGCAGGAGTCTTCCTGGGTCAGTTGCCTTCCCACAGGCCTCACACACAGTGCACTCAAGACACCTCCAACCTTTGCTAAGAACCACTTTAGTGATCTGTAAAAGAAACAACCAATCCATGTGATTTATGCATTAACCTAACATAATCAAATATACTATATAAATTAGTATGGTGCTTATGTACCTAGAAGCAGAAAAGAGGCAATCAACTAACATTTATTGAGCACCTACGGAGGCCCAATATTGGGTTGGGCATGTTCATATGCACTTTTAGGAGCCTACTGAGCAGAATAATAGAAAGTGGCATATATTTTAATGCCTTTTTAAAGTCCACATAATTACCTTATGCTGTACATTTAATGTCCACTATATTTATAGATATAGTGACCACATTTTAAAGAAATCAAGTAAGTTTCCCTATTACTGATACATAATTTGAAAATACATCAACAAAATCTCCATCTACGTTTCCATGCTTAAAATCAATAGAAAAAATACCAAAAAAAAATAATAATGTAAAACATGAGTTCTTAGGGACATTTTATTATCTTAGAGGATTTCTATTTAGACTATGAAGCTAGGAATTCCGAAGTTCACATTCACTCCTCTGTTTATTCTTCTCTCTCTCAAGGGTGTTAGTAGAATATTTGGGAATCTCCAAATCCCTAATCAACTCCTGAAGGAAGTCACACCATGTAATATTAAGATTGTGGAACTTCTTAAAGATCTCAAGAGACTAGGGTGTACAGATAGAACCAACCAAGTGCCCACATGATAATGACACAGCAGGTAATGAGGGTGGAGAATAAAAATTCAGATCATGAGGTACATGAAAGCCTAAAAGATACCAGAGAAGAAAACAAAAGAGTTAAATTCAGAGGAACACCTATCAGAATGGCACCAAACTTCCCAAATCCAGATGCATAAGTTTCCAATTCTACAAGAAAACACTTTTCAAAGTACAATTCTCAACCTAGCTACACAAGCAACTGTGTGTGAAGACAGAATACGTTGTAGACACAGGAAGACTCAAAATTCAGCTCCCTCATTCTCCTTCTAATAAAGTTACTGAGAGATATGTGGAACAGAATGAGGATAAAGAAAAGGAAGATTTGGGATCTATAAATCAACAGATCCAACAAAAGATATCAGGCCAGGAAAGTTTAAGGATGAGAACAACACACCTAGAAGCTCCTGGCATGTTTCAGAGCAGGAGAAGGGAATGTCCAGGAGGAGGGTAGGATTCTTCCCAGAAAAAAACGGTACTTTAAAAAATAATCTTATATGATAGTTGTATAGTAGGCAAAAACAAAGAACAAATGGAGAGTCACTATTACTTTCTTGTTATTAAAAACTCCATGAAAGACAAAAGAAACTCATAGTACACTATTTAGATCTGCAGTGAACATTCACTGAGTCAAAATCAACACCTTATTAATTGAACTAAACATAGTAATACAACTATATTGGGAGAAGGAAGGAGGTGTATTTTAAGACCTAAATCAGAATTGATTTATTCATAGCAGAAAGTCGACAAAATCTAGCACTGATAAAGCAGTAAACCAGTTTATCATTTAGAGCTATAGCACTAACTACAAGAAAAAAGACCTGAAAAGATGAAAAGTGATTGCCTCAGACATGGAGGTAAAGTAATACAAGGGTTGGTTGTTCATTACAAGGCTTTTTTTTTTTTTTTTTTTTTGAGACAGTCCTGCTTTGTTGCCTGGGCTGGAATGCAGTGGTGTGATCTCAGCTCACTGCAACCTCTGCCTCCCATGTTCAAATAATTCTCCTGGCTCAGCCTCCTGAGTAGCTGGGACTACAGGAATGAGCCACCACACCCAGCTAATTTTTGTATTTTTAGTAGAGACAGAGTTTTACTATGTTGGCCAGGCTGGCTCGAACTCCTGACCTCAAGTGATCCACCTGCCTTGGCCTCCCAAAGTGCTGGGATTACAGGTGTGAGGCAACACGCCCGGCCCATTACAAAGCTTTTCATGTCATTTGGTTTTTAAACATGTATATTTATTAATTTGATTAGCTTATATGATTTTTAAGAATTTGTCTTAGATTACCAAGTTAATATATTATTTGCCCACATGAAGGAAATGGCCTAGGAGTAAGATCAGGGTGGCTTAGAGCAGTAGCCAGCAAACATTTCCAATAAAGGGCCAGAGAGTAAATAGAAAGTTCTGAGGGCCGTATGACCTGTTGCAACTTTATAAAAACCCTGCCAGTGTAAAGCAAAACCCACTACAAATATATGTAAACAAAAGAACATGGCCATATTTCAATAAAAGTTTATTTGCAAACAAAGGAAATGGGTCAGATTTAGTCTATGGGCCAGTCTGCCTAACCCTGGCTTCGATGATGATCTGAAGATAAAGTGGCAGACAGATCTGAGGTGTTTAGTGGCAGAATTTTAAAAATATTTATTTTCATTCCTCCTAAGTTTTCTTCACAGATGCCTGTGGCCCCTTTTACAACCAAACTCTCCAACTTTCTCAGTTTATATTCACTCTTCAACATACTACACTACGGTCTCTGCGCCCACATCCACTCAAAACTGCTTAAGCCAGGCTCGCCAAGACCTTCTTATTCTCAAATCTAATGGAAACATTAGCGTTTGTGTTTCTTGATTGCCAGTACTTCAACACTTGAACAATTTCTCCCTCTGTGAAATTTCCTTTTAACCTAGGTACTGGGGTTGTACTATCAAGTCATTTTTTTCTTCTGCTGAACCAGTTTAGGCTTAGTTTTAAAAATTTTTTCAAATAAGATGTCATCCAGGATTCCATTCATGGTACCCTGTCCAAAATTGTTACAGATCTGATACGGATAATCTAATACGGATACATGCTTCAACTATAATGGAGTAGGTGGGACCAGCCTGTTCTCCCATAAGATACTAGAAAATTGGACAAAATGTATGAAACACTTGTTTTCAGATATTGGACAACACATAACACAGGAGACAGTGGTCTCTGAGAGGAAGGAAACACTCAGGGGGTCCTGTGATACTCCACCTAGAAACAGTTTCCAGACCGCTGCCCAGGGAAGGAGAACCTCATCAGAGAACAATCCATGGCCTCCCTGGGGTTAGGGAAGGTGAGGCAGTGGAATGTGCAGGACACAGTACTCAAAATGAAGAAGCATAAGGACTAAGAGCTCCAGAAATCTAAAGGATTCCCCTGAAGTCTTTGGCAGAACACCAAGCTGCACTGCTATAAGGCCAAAGACCCCCAACCAGGGGAAAGTACACCTACTGGGAATTTGTAAGCTGCACAGTTACCGAGCTTGCAAAAGGCTCAAAGACAAGTGAAGCCCAACCAGTCAGAGTACAAAGACAATGGTGAACAGGGGGTAGAATTCAGTAGAGATCCTAGAAAGGCCAAGTCTTAAGTATAGGGTTAAACTAATGCTAGGACCGCAGCTACCAAAGTGTGGTCTAGGGAACCCCAGTGGGCCTGTAAGGTTAAAACAAGTTTAAATAATACTAGGATTTAATTTGCCTTTTTTTCACTTTAATTCATTCACAATTATACAGTGGTATTTATAGAGGCTACATGTTGTATCATATCATTACACTGACATTATGCGGGTTGTGCTTCTGTAGTCTTGTGTTATAAAATGTTCCTAGTTTTAATTCCTAAAATGGTGAACAGTCCATAGTTAAAATCCTCATAAACAAAAACTATGGAGTCCTCAGGAATTTTAAAGAGTGTTAAGGTTCTAAAACCATAAAGTCTGAAAACATCCACCTGAGAGTGAAGGCTTTCTAGACTTGCCCCAGCAAGCTTAAAAAGAAGCTTCAAAGGTATCAAACTTATCCACAAACAATCGCCTCCTACAACAAAAATTCAAACTGAGTCAATTCAAATATCCCTAGTATATTTCTAGATACTGCTGTATTTCTCAATCAATGAGACTGCAGTATCCTACACTGTCCAAAACAGCGTCATCGTATAAAAGGAACCACATACAACTTTTAAAAATAGGAATTCATATTCTAGCTCTACCAGTAACTAGGTGTTTGACAGTGAACTAATTGTCCAATCTTAACTTATGTAAGTCATATTTAACTCATCTGTAAAATGGGAATTCGGTAATTGTTGGATGGGTTAAAAGAAATACATTACTACCTTGAAAGGGATCTTATTCAATTTCCTTCGGTCCAAAACACTAAGTATCTAAAACACAAAATCTAGTAACAGCAACTTTTATACAAAGTACAAAGAAGAAAAGAAACATATTTTATGCATATATAACTCTTATTTTTTAATTGACTTTATATACTCTTTTTCAGTCAAATGTCACGAGCAACTAATTTTAAAAGACTACATAAATTAACCGTACTAGTCTTCTATTTTGGATAGTATTAATTATAATCTTTCATTTTGATTCCTAAATTCACAAAAACCTATAATACCCTATAAAAGAAATACTAGTGTAGTTATCAACAAAGAATTCTGAGGGAGATAATGTTGATTTATTTACTACACTGACATTTTACTGACAATGATATAATACAGTCATGTTTGAAGGGCAGGGGAGAAAGGTATAAAAATCACTCATAGTTCATGACCTATCACTGAAACTGAGGTTAGTATTTATAGTACATGGTATGGCAGTACTAGAAAAGATTTACTTGTGGAGTACATTAAGACCTCTGCTGTACAGCTATACCTCCATGCTTGCTTCCAGTGGCCATGACACTTTATTCAAATATGTAAGTTTTATTAAGACTGAGTTCTTGGCTGGGTGCGGTGGCTCACGCCTGTAATCCCAGCACTTTGGGAGGCCGAGGCAGGCGAATCACAAAGTCAGGAGATCGAGACCACGGTGAAACCCTGTCTCTACTAAAAATACAAAAAATGAGCCGGGCGAGGTGGCGGGCGCCTGTAGTCCCAGCTACTCGGGAGGCTGGGGCAGGAGAATGGCGTGAACCCGGGAGGTGGAGCTTGCAGTGAGCCAGGATCGCACCACTGCACTCCAGCTTGGGCGACAGAGCAAGACTCCGTCTCAAAAAAAAAAAAAAAAAAAAAAGACTGAGTTCTTAAAAAGAAAACATCAAGAACCTCAACTACTGAAGTATTGAGACCTGTCCATATTTAAAACCAAGCACACGATACCACTTAAAAGGTTCCCCAGAAAGCCTCTATCCTGAAATGCTTGAAAGTGAGCAGTGCTGACTCTCGATTATTACCAATTGCATTAAATATGACATTTGTTTTGTTTCTTTTGGCTATAAGGAGAAAATGTCTTTTTGTATACGAGTGAGCATAGAGGAAACAGAATGTGGGAAAGAACAGAATGGGCTAATAATTTTTTACTAAATACTCCAGTTCTCAGCTTTTTAAATCAACAGACAAAATGAATCAGTTAAACCTAAAATCTTTGTGAATAGTATAAATTATCTTTTAAGTTAAATGCACATATTTTTATGTTTTACTTTTTCAAGACAAAAGCAGGATATTAGTACAATATAAGATTTATAGAGGAGCAAATTTCTTGAGATAGCAAACCCTTAAAAGCAGTATTTAAAGTACTTAAATACTGTCACATATGTATAGTATTCATCATACTTAACTGTGAGAACTGGGAGTTCATGTTACCACTCAAATCAAATAAAAATTCACTACATTTTTGTTAATTCAATTTAAGGATGTTTACCTTAATACTGACACAGTATGGATGGTAACACTGACCACACTGAGAACAGGCAAGTAATCTTCCTTCTGCTCCTTGGCCAAAACTGCCACAAACTACACACATATCCTGAAGTTAAGAAAACAGAACATATTTTAAATGGAGACTAAGCTAAAAATCTACAAATTTTACTTTAAAAATACCTTCTTAACTAATATAGCTCTATAGCTAGATATTGGATGACTTCTGTATATGAGATAAAGCAGAAATGTGCAAGGAGGAATTCAATGAGGAAAACAGTAAATTGTTAAGTTCAAACCTGATTCAAAGTGAACTTGTCACTACTAGAAAACAACACAACTGTATTGTGCATAGAGTTTTCTTCATCATCCTTATTTGATGAAATATCTGCAGCAGACACCTATAAAAAGCAAAATACACAAAATACGAAGTTATATTTTTCACTTGTTTTACACTTAACTGGAAAGCTTCAGAAAATTCATAATCAAAACATATATTTTTGCCAAGGTCTAGAATAACAATTCCAAATACTATTAATGCTAAAATACTACCATAAAATGGAGTCATAACATTTTATTATTCACCTAATTCTCTCTTTAGAGGTAGAATTCCTATAGACCAAGAAGTAATGAGAAAATACAATAAACCTGTCTTAGCAAGACTTGATCATGCAGAATTCTAATCAAGAAACTATAAATGATAATATTATATGTATGTACACACACAAATCTATCACTCTATTTTAGTGACACACACTTGGGATCTGCTGTGTAGCTAGTCTGAACTGAGATGTACTGTAAGCATAAAATACAACACGTAATTATATATTACATGTTGAAATGGTAATATTTTAGATATATCAGTCAAAATGAAAGGCATTAAAATTAATTTAGCCTGTTCACTATAACCTTTATTTTGTTTTGAGAGGGAGTTTCACTCTTGTTGCCCAGGCTGGAGTGTAATGGTGCAATCTCGGCTCACTGCAACCTCAGCCTCCCGATTCAAGCTATTCTCCTGCCTCAGCCTCCCAAGTAGCTGGGATCACAAGTGTCCACCACCACACCCAGCTAATTTTTGTATTTTTCGTAGAGATGGGGTTTCACAATGTTGGTCAGGCTGGTCTCTAACTCCTGACCTCAAGTGATCCACTGCGCCCAGCTCACTGTAACTTTTTAACGTGGCTACTAGGAAGTTTTAAATTGCATATGTGGTTCTCATTATATTTCTATTATACCACTTTAGAATATTATTTTGAATAATATCAAAATTTCAGTATTATCCAAATGATTATCAACCAATATTGTTGAGTCTGGACTTAGTTCTATTTGACTACATCAACTAAGTACCCACTGGTTTGTTACTAATTTCTAGAGTGATTATGAAACAAAATAAAGCTCTGAACTAGAAGTTGTAGAAGAAGACAAGGAGGACAGTGCCAAAATCATAAAATACAATCCTCTTTCTTTAAAAAGCTTACAACCTAAGCCTGGAAAGACAGAGTTGAAACACAACAGGTTATGTTCAAGGTCAAAACATAAAACAATAGAATTACTTTTCTTGAGGAACAACTGAAAGAAGATTAACCAGCTGGGTGTGGTGGCTCATGTCTATAATCCTAGCACTTTAGGAGGCTGAAGTGGGTGGATCGCTTGAGCTCAGGAGTTCAAGACCAGCCTGGGCAACGTGGTGAAATCCCGTCTCTACCAAAAATACAAAAAATAGCCAAGCGTGGTGGCACATGCCTGTAGTCTCAGCTACTCAGGAGGCTGAGGCAGGAGAATCACTTGAACCCGGGAGGCAGAGGTTACAGTGAGCCAAGATTACACCATGGCACTCCAGCCTGGGTGACAGAGCAAGACCCTATCTCCAAAAAAAAAAAAAGAGGAAGAGAGGAAAGAAGGACAGAAGGAAGGAAGTTAGGACAGAAGGAAGGGAGGAAGGGAGGGAGGGAGGGAGGGAGGGAGGGAGGAAAGGCAGGCAGGCAGGCAGGCAGGCAGGCAAACTAAATAGAAGGACTACATCTCAGTATTTTTCAAAACAAATACATTTAAAAGCAGTTTTTTTGGTTTTTTTGAGACAGTCTCGCTCTGTCCCCCAGGCTGGAGTGCAGTGGCGCGATCTCCGCTCACTGCAAGCTCCGCTTCCTGGGTTCACGCGCCTGCCACCACGCCCGGCTAATTTTTTTGTATTTTTAGTAGAAATGGGGTTTTACCATGCTAGCCAGGATGGTTTCGATCTCCTGACACGGTGATCCGCCCGCCTTGGCCTGCCAAAGTGCTGGGATTACAGGCATGAGCCACCGCGCTCGGTGTAAAAGCAGTTTTAATGGACAGTACTAATGCTTTATAAGAGCAATTTACAGTCATATGAACCCTAATAATGCCGATATTCATCACTACGGAATAAGTAAAACAATGGCAAATCCAAACATTAGAAAATTATGCAACATTTTAAAAGCAAGGAGGCAGAAATTTATATGGACTCTCATGAAAGAAATTATCAAAAGACATTGTTGAGTGAAAAAATAAATTGCAGAACAGTATGTGAGGTGTAGCACTTATAAAAACATGCAAAGTCATTATATGTAGTCTATGGGCACATGTAAAACGTTGAATCATAAGAAACTGCTGCTTTTCATCAGTTCAGAAATAATATTGGCAATTTCATACAGATCAACCTAATATATAAATATACCAAACTGGTAACAGGGAAATAAGAAGGACTGAGGAGTTAGTAATGGTAAATTCTGATCTACCTATAATGCTTTAATTTTGTAAATAGAAAAAATGCATTGATGTGTTATATGCATACCTCAAAATTAGTTTTCTAAGATTTTAGAGAATCATCCAAGATGATTCACAAAAGTAGAATCATCATGATCAGTAAGAAATTAAGTGACCACTAAAAGTAATCATTAATTCAGCCATAGGACTAATGATGCATTGAGAAGACTATTAAGATATATAATTGTGGAAATGGCTAAAATAGAGATAAAGTATCTATTTCTACCTCCCAACCACTAACAGAAATTTCGACACTTTATACACACTGAGTAGCTCAAAGAAATTGTAAAGATCCATTATTATTTTTAAAAGGAAATTTAACCAGTGAATGCTTTCACTGAAAATGATAACAATATATTCCCAGTATAAACCAGAAACAAAGTCTGCAATAAAAAATTACAATGTCCCTAGATTCAAGTGGGAGGTGGAGAATCATATTTAAATAATAAGTGCAGAAAAACCAAAATATTTTAAAATAATTGTCCATGCAAGAAAGAAAACAGTATCATCTAGCTTGAGGACCCACTGTTTTTATTTTATAATTTGTTTCATGACCTTTAGACTGCTAGAAAAATAAATTACCTTGAGGGCAAAGGTAAACTTTGAGAAAATAAGTGTTATTGTTGCCTGCATAGATAATAGTGTGATTTATTCAGAAGGTGATAGATATTTCATTTTCTTAGACCACAGATGTAAGTCAAGGAACAGAAAGCTCTGACCTAAACTTCACAAATGTCCCTTCCAAACAGGGACACAAAAGAGTAAACAAAAAAAGAAGATCAAATTAAACTCAAAGTGAGAAGATAGGAAAAAATAGATGAGGATATAAATCAATAAAACAGAACGGGGAAAGAAAATAGAGAAAAGTCCATGAAAACAAAGGCTGACTCAAGAAGATCAATAAGATTGATAAATCTCTAGCCAGACTGATCAGGAAAAAAATAAGACAAGATACAAATTATTAGTATTGAGAATAAGGAAGGTGAAATCACTACAGATTCTACAGGTATTAAAATAGTAAGAAATACTATGATCAACTCCATTCCTTTAATTTGTCAAGATAGACAAAATGAACAAATCTCTTGAAAGATGCAAATTTATGCAAGGGGAGACAGATAACCTAAATAGGTACCTATTAAAGAAAGAAAATTTGTTGCTAAAAACTGTCCCATAGGCTGGGCGCGATGGCTCATCCTGTAATCCCAGCACTTCGGGAGTCGGATCATCTGAGGCCAGGAGTTCGAGACCAGCCTGGCCAACATGGCGAAACCCCATCTCTACCAAAAACACAAAAATTGGCCGGGCATGTTGGTGCACACCTGTAATCCCAGCTACTCAGAAGGCTGAGGCAGGAGAATTGCTTGAACCTGAGAGGTGGAGGCTGCAGTGAGCGGAGATCACTCCACTGCACTCCAGCCTGAGCGCGGTGGCTCACGCCTGTAATCCCAACACTTTGGGAGGCCAAGGCAGGTGGATCACCTGAGATCGGAAGTTTGAGACCAGCCTGGCCAACATGGTGAAAAATTGTCTCTACTAAAAATACAAAAAAAAATTAGCCAGGCGTGGTGGCGGGCACCTGTAATCCCAGCTACTCAGGGGGCTGAGGCAGGGGAATCACTTGAACCTGGGAGGCGGCAGTTGCATGAGTCGAGATCGCGCCATTGCAATCCAGCCTGGGCAACAAGAGCGAAATTCCATCTCAAAAGACAAAAAAAAAAAAAAAGAAAACAAAACAAAAACCACCCCACAAAGAAAATTTCAGGCCAAGACGGTTTCACTAATAAATTCATGTATAATATAAGAAGAAATATTTCCACTACTACACAACTTTTCCAGAAAACTGAAGAGGAGAATATACTTCCTGATTCATTCTAAGAAGCTGGAGTTACGCTGATACCAAAACCAGACGAAGACATTACAAGAATGTAAGACTACAGGCTGGGGCATGGTGACTCATGGCTGTAATCCCAGCACTTTGGGAAGCCAAGGTGGGAAAACTGCTTGAGCTCAGAAGTTCGAGACCAGCCTGGACAACATAGTGAGATGCTGTCTCTATTAAAAATTTTTAAAAGGTAGTTGGATGTATGTAGTAGGACACACACCTATGGTCCCGGCTACTTGGGAGATGGAGGTGGGAGGTCGAATCTGGAGTGAGCTATGATCATACCACTGCACTCCAGCCCAGGAATTAGAACAAGAACCTTTCTCAGAAAAAAAAAGAAGGAAAAAAAAAAAAGTGCACAGGTCTACAACCGTGGTGCATACACAGTTTTATTAATACTCAGCAAGAAAAGGGAGTACCCTGTTAACAAACGGCAACAGCATAGATGAATCTCCAAATAATTGTGCTGAAATAAATCAGTCCAAAAAGCATACAATTCTGTATGATTCCACTTACATACAACTCTAGAAAATGCAAACTAATCTTGGGGACGAGGACGGATGGCAGGGGAAATGCAGAAAATTACAGAGGGGCATGAAGAAACTTTGGGAGATGAATATATTCACTATCATCATTGTGGTTTCGTTTTCAAGGGTGTATACATATATCAAAGCTTATGGAATTGTACATGTCAAATATAGCTTATATCAACTATACCTCAATAAGCCTTGTTTTAAAATTTTTCTTTTTGAAAAAAGGACAAGAATCTAAGCTTCCTTACTCCTCCTGGTTTAGTAGTAAACTTGGACAATTTCACTTGTACTTAAAATGACATTTCAGAATTTTAAAAATAGGATTTTAATAAAATAGTGAAGTTATTACACAAAATATTTGCTAGTAGTTAGCAAATATGTTTGTAATGCACATATAAATAAAGCCTCATAACATGATATAAGCAAATATCTATCAATCTTAAAATTTTTTAAATGAAAGAGCAACTATATTACACATTGACTTTTTAGAGAGGGTTGGCATAGAAAGATAAGGAGTCAAAGAGGAAGGTAAGGAAAGAGAAAGGATGAGAAAGTAAATATACAAGAAAATGTAACCAGAGGCTCAAAAAAAAAAAAAAAGCAAAATAGAGACAGAATAAAATAAAATAAACATTTTGGCCTATTTATATGATTCTTAAGATCAAAATAACTTGCTGTGAGATTTTCATCAACTGACATTTAGATTAGAGAAAATATACATGAAGCAAGCCTCACCCCAGGCAATACAACAGCTCCGATTCCACTTTTCAGCTTTGACCTGCCTCGGCCACCTCGTCCCGACAGTCCTGCACCTCGAGGTCTCCGCTTTCCTGGAAATCCAGACCCACGGCCCTATGTAACAGATTAGGAAAAGTCAACATTCTGTGACAGCCGAAAAGAATTTTTAAATCCAAATGCCACTGAGATAAAACATTTTATCAAATGTTACACAAACACTTCTTTAGGTAAGTATTAAGAAACCTGGCTTATTATTTGTATCTTTAAAAGCATACTCCACAACTTAAAAATCTAAATATAAAATGTTTACAACCTTAGAATCATACCTTGGGCCTGTCACTGTGAACGCTTTCAGCAAGCCTTTGCATGATTTTTCTCTTTCCCACTCCTACATTCTCGGTGGCTACAACAACTATAGCCTAATCCAGATATTTCGAAGTGCAACAAATTATATTTAATATAGAGTACGTATAAGGAAGAACTCTCTCATTAACTGGTCTTGCAGTGATTACAGTAATAGCTAGTATCTATTGAGTACTTACTATGTACTAATCTAAGAATTTTTTACTCTCAACAATTCCATATAGCAGGTTTTATTATCCCCATTTTAGATGACTTTGCTGAGGAGTAAAAAGGTTAAGTAACTTGTCCAAAGTCACTTATCTAGCAAGTCTGGCTCCAGCGTCCCTGGGTTGGAACCATATTCTGTACTGCTACATCAGCATGAAAGTTCATTTTTGCTAGTGTGTAACAGTATTCTTCCTGTCATTAAAATTAAGTCAGTTTCCTTCACTATTCAACAGTTCTCTTATGAACTCAACATTTCTACCTCATTCACTATAGTACTTAGAGGAAAATTTATTATTATTACTTTTATTTTTGAGACAAGAACTTGTTCTGTCATTCAGGCTGGAGTGCAGTGGTGTGATCACAGCTCACTGCAGCCCAGAACTTTTGGACTCAAGTGATCCTCCTGCTTCTGCCTCCCAAAGTGCTGGGATTACAGGAGTAAGCCTAAGCGTCTAGCCAGGAAAAAATATTTGAGGATTATGGGAAAGCTGGCAAAAGGCTTTGTGAAAGCTTTGCTTTAAATAATCTGAATAATAAATACTTGAAATGGAAATAATTTATCTGACTTCTTACACAAAAAATAAACGTATGGGAAAATGTGTTAGTTAAATCCCCTGATAATTTAAGAACCAGAGTATGGTGCTCCCTGCTCCCCCACCCTTGTTTGTACTAATTAACTACTCCTTGAAAAAACCTGGCACCTACCTAAGTAGATGAATTATGTATATTTAAAATTATCCAGATGCTCAGGAAAATACTTTGATGTTTCCCTCCCAACAAGTTAAATAATATGTCATATCTTCAACTGATGTCCCTCATCATAGTTTGAAATGAACTTATTCCCTATTTAGCAGAATGATTTCCAAGTAAAACTTTATGGTGATACTGTAAGCATAAAATAGATACACATGAATAAAAGGAACGGGAGGAATGGTTTTTTTCCCTTTGGATGTAATAAATACAGCCAGCTTCCAGTTTCAAACTGCCACTCCTGTCTTCTCTTAACCTGCTCTCCTTGAGATCCCTTGAGAGATGCATCAGCTTCTTTCAACAACAGATGTATGGGATCAGCTTAGTTTTTTGGGTTGTTTGTTTGTTTTTGAGATGGAGTCTCGCTTCTACGCCCAGGATGGAGTGCAATGGTGCGATCTTGGCTCACTGCAACCTCCGCCTCCTGGGTTCAAGCAACTCTCCTGCCTCAGCCTCCCTAGTAGCTAGGATTACAGGCACATGCCACCATGCCTGGCTAAATTTGTTTGTATTTTTAGTAGAGACAGGGTTTCACCATGTTGGCCAGGTTGGTCTCGAACTCCTAATCTCAAATGATCCGCCCACCTCAGCCTCCCAAAATGTTGGGATTACAGGCGTGAGCCATGGCGCCTGGCCAAGTTTGTTTTGTTTTTAAATTGGTATTAAAGATTTTTGAAAAATTAAGTCAGTGATTAAAAACCAATACTACAGTAATCTCTCAATTATTTTCTCCAACATCAAATGCTGACCCAGAAAAACAAAAAGTGAAAACTGGTGGTCTATATTACAAAACTGTCAAATGACTCTTAAAATATTTATACCTCAATATCTTGGATGATATCGGGGGAGGTAGGGAAGTTAAAAAAAAAAAAAAAAAAAAAAAGAATTGTTCTTCCAGTCATGAAAGAAATTAAAGTATAATCTAGAATTCCTTAAAATCCTTGATGAGTCTAAATTAAACAGTCATATTCCAGAATATTAAATATGGAAGATGAAGAAAAATTGTCACCTCTAGTCAATGAGGTATTTTAACTTTTGAGTTAATACTTTTCCAAATTAATTTTTTTCTCTTCAAAATGCATCACACTACTTACTTCAAGGACTGACAGAGTCACCAACCAATGGCATGGGGGGGAAAGCCCTGTCACTTTAAGGTATTAACCACAGACAATGAAATCTGCCACAATTTTGGTATTTCTTCTCCATGAGAACATAATAAATTAATGGAGTTTTTCTTTTGCTTTTTTCTAAGCAACAAAGTTTTATGATATCGTGAATGAAAATGTCCGTAATTACCTTTTGGTCTACATGTCAAGGACTTCTCCCTCATAAAAACAGTAGTAATCACAACAAAAGGAATTAACCATAAAAAGAGGTATTAAAAATGTGTACTTGATTTTTAAATGCATATTATTTCTTTACATTAAAATTTTTAGATTTAAAAAGTGTCTCTGGAAGCTCAATCTAGAAAAGAAAGATTTAATTCTTAACATCCAGTAGGGCAAAACAATCAGACAGAAATGATATATGAATGTAAATGCAATTTTATTTACCACTTTGATGCTCCAAATGGCACTGCCAGGAAGCTGCCTGGGTTTAAAAATTTCCCGACCTTCTGAAATGTCTGGGGACCAGGAAGGTGGGCTCACTGTATTATGGGTACTCCAAGCCCCCTAGGATATGGCAGTTGAGAAAATAGATGTGTAAAACTCAGCAACATAAAAGGTCAAAGCCAGCAACTAAGGAATTTTAGAACAGCAAAAACAAATGCAAACGTATGGAAATTTAGGACAAGTTGCTTCAAGGAAGGCAAAATAAGCTTATCACTAACAGTGACTTAAACATTTAAGTATAACTTAAATAACTTAAATGTTTGCGGCTACAATTTACATTAAATATTTAATTCTGGCTGAGACATCACTACAATGAAACATTAAAAATTAAGGTTTATATGACATCAACATTGACTCATGAACTGCAATTACTGCACCAAAAAGTAAATAAAGGTCAATCACACTTTAAGGATTAACACTAGAAGAAAGTACTGGGGGATTATTTTTCTTCTAACAACTATCATTCTACTTAAAAGGAGAAATGGATAACCATAAGGAATTCTATATTCTATAGCTATAAACGACCAAAACCAGTAGGCCAAAGAATGAGATGAGAAACATAAGCAATCGATAAATGCATAAACTTTAAACTGTGGAGAGCTGGTAACATTAAAATACAAATACCATTATTTGTGTTAGCATTTAATCACTCCTTCTTCAGTGACCATTAGTTGTGGGTTTGGGTTTCAGTTTTTACTTAGGGAAATGAATATTTGTGGAAATTACATCCAATGGACAAATACGAAGAAATGTTAAAGCAAATTGTCCTAAATTTGCAAATTAAAATGCCTAAAGTATCTGATAAATTATATAGAAAATAGTATCTTATTAAAAGCTATATAACTAAAACTAAAGCATTCTACATCCAAATAACCACATTCAGCAACACCCTGAACTAATCTGATGAAGATGCTAAACAGCATACAAAAAAATGTTTACTCCACAAAGATAACATTTTAAAGAAAAACACAAGACAAATGTCAAACAATAAAATAATCTATTTTGAATTAGGTAAATCAATGGTGCATGCTATAATTTTACCAATTAAGTAACCAAAACTTAAGACAAGGTACATAGTACTTACCGGGTTTCTAGAATATTATCAAATTAACAAGTAGTATCTCATTAATCACATAAAAATACCACCAGGAATTAAAATAACTAGAAACAAGAATGTGACTACTCTTGGAGTAAGAGACAGGTAATGGAATAACAGTATTTTGAGAAAAGCCATGCAAGCAATAGACTGGTTTCATTTTTAAGTCACAAACTCAATCCACAGACACTGAAGTCCGGCTATCCAACTCACTCTCTCCAGCAAAGACTTTATTTATTTTCCCTCCAGGATCACCCTTGGGTATTCTTTCTTACCCATCAAATCTCTAACCTAGCTCACGTAATCACTATGCTGATTTCACTAAGCAGCAACCACTGCAGGTCAATTACCTCACTTTCATAATCTCAAATCAACTTGAATCTGTACCTATGTCTTCTTCCCTACTATTAGTAGTCCAGGGTCTTAGGTAACCTCTGTATTGTCAAAAGCCATTTCTCTTTTCTCATTTTACTCATGCTCCTAACATGTGGCATACTATTCTGCTGGATTTGGCAGCAGCACACCTGTGGATGTTTCACTGACTTCCTCGCTAATCTTTCTTCATCTCCCGTACATGTTCTTCCTGTATTTGACTTCCAAAGCCCTGGAGTTTCCCAGGGCTTGGGCCTAGACCTGAAATGGTATTATCTACAACGAGGGTGTCTTGGAAGTTGTTGCCTCTTAACATTCTTGTATCTAGTTTTAATCAGGTATCTCCAAATTAGCAGGATTTTCAACTTCCTTCTTAGCATTTCCATTTTCTCACACAAAACCTCTTAAGTTTGCCATGTTTAAAAAATTTCTCCCTTAACCGGTTTCATCCCAGTCTTCCCCATCCTTATAAATGGCACCCAGTCCCTTGTCACTCTCCTCTGCTCCTTCAGTCCTCTCCCCCAACACTTCGTCAATGCAGATCATCAGTAAATTCAAGACTTTTTATCTTCAAGTTTTGTCTCTGATCCTTCTACTTCTTGTCACTTCCACCGCCAGCAGCCCAGTTGTCGCCACCACCATCTCTCGCCTAACATGCTGCAAGAGTCTACTGCTGGTTATGCTGTTCCCAGCCTGCATCTACTCCAGCCTTTCCCCACAGCAGCCAGAGGAACTTTGCGCAAGTACAAATGTGATCAAGCAAGTCACTATTCTATTTCAAACCTTCAACTGCTTCTCAAAGCACTTAAAAGACAAACCTTTCCCAGTGCCTTTCTCCAACCTCATCTTGTGGCACTTGTCTCCCTGCTACTGTGCTCGGCTACTCTGGCTTCCTTCTGTCCTTCAAACATGCCAAGCTCTTTATCAGTCAGAGCCCAACTGACTCAGAACACTTTACTATACCATTCCAGTCCTTCAATAAATGTCTGCTGCTTTTTTTTGTTTGTTTGTTTTTGAGATGGAGTCTCGCTCTGTCACCCAGGCTAAAGTGTGGTGGTGCGATCTCGGCTCACTGCAACCTCCACCTCCCGGGTTCAAGTGATTCTCCTGCCTCAGCCTCATGAGTAGCTGGGATTACAGGCATGCACCACCATGCCCGGCTAATTTTTGTATTTTAGTAGAGACATCATGTTGGTCAGGCTGGTCTCAAACACCTGACCCTGGGATCCACCAGCCTTGGCATCCCAAAGTGCTGGGATTACAATCGTGAGCCACCACGGCCAGCCATGTCTGGCGTTTTCTAACCCTTCAGGTATGGCCTTAAATATTTTCTCATCAGGAGACCTTTCCTTAGTACTCCCAATGAACCATCATCTCTCTTACCACAACATCAGTACCCTCTCATTCCATCACCACCTGGGACATTTTATTGTTTGCAATTGTATTTAGTGGTAGGAAGTGGGGAGCAAGAGATATCTAAATTTAGTTCTCTCAATATTTCCGTTGGTTTTTCTCTGAGATTTGGCTTACATCTTAAATTCCTTTTAGTCGATAGTTTAATATTACATTGGCAGTAGACAGTTCTCAAAAATATGACACAGAAAGTCATACTCTAAGATAAAAATAATGTTGAATAATTTTATTTCAGAAATAGGAATTTTCTGGTAATTATGTATTATTCATCATAATTTAAAAGTTAGCTTTGATGCCAAAATTTTCTCTCATTTCAAAAAGAAGACAGACTTTGTGTAATTTTATAGTTCTGAAGAAAAATTATCATTATACTTGATATTCTGACAAATTATCTAGTATATTCCTTAGACCTTAAAACTAAAATATAGCTATAATTATCAAAGTTTAAATTGTCCTTCAGATCTTAGCTTTGATCAAGAACTTACACCATTCAGAAAAGGTTAGCTGCCCCTATAATATATGGGCTCTCCTCCTACAATCCAGCACTTTCTATACTGTAATTGAAGATCATGCTCCTTTCTGTTCAGTGCTATGTTAAGCACTCTGTTCAGCACTTACTGAACTTTTTTTCTGCTCAGCATCTATTGTCTCTTTTTCCATCTGTGTATGAATTCATCCATAAACAATGAACTATGACATGAAATACACTAATGCCTCCACCAGTAATAACCTAGAATTTTGAATTTTTTCACTTATAAAAGTTACTAAAAATTACTAAAAAAAAAATCTATATAATGCCCCCTTAATCTATCAACTGAACTAAAAGCAAAAGAGTTCCTAATGTAATCATTAAGTTGTAAATAGAACCAACTTGCTATCAAATACTACAGAAACTAAAAAAATACTACCTGGCAGGGACTGAATTTGAACCCAAGAAAAATAATTTAACCCCAAAATCGTTTAATATTAGCATTAAATTTCTTTCTGCTTTGAGGCCAATTTCCCAGGTAAACTGTCCAAGCTAGTAGGTTATACAGGGACTGTGGGATGGGGAAATAAGAACAATAATGACAGGTGGAGGACAGGCTATTTAGAAGCAACTTTCTATTAAAAGTCATATTCTATTGCTGGTTGTTAAATATGATCAAAGTCACTCTTACAGCCCAAGAGTACTATCAGTTTTAAAAGCAGCCAGAGAAGGTCTGGTGTCTCACTGGCAAACTTTACACCTCCAAATCCTAAATCAATCCCGGCCCCACACTCTTCCAACATACTATGCAAAACCAAGGTTGCATATAAACAGTGAGTCTACTTTAGGAAAAGTGAAAGCAATGAAGAGAGAGAGCAGAAAGGAAGATAACTAGTAAAAGAAACAAACAAGTTTACAGTTTGTCTTTTTGGTAAATATAATCACTTGTGTACATTGGAGCTACAGCAGCAAACACTTCACTATTAAAGGAATTCTTAAAAGAAGTCTCATATATAAAATTGAGTTCAATATCAAGTAGAAAAAGAAATTAGACCTAATCCTGTTTTGATAACAAAAGAAACAGTTTTATCCGCTTTAGCCTTCGATAATTTCAGAATACAAATTAGGTGGCGCTAGCAACAGTAATGTCTCCAAAAATACCACAAACAAGTAAACTAAAAGGAAAGTCTGGTACTTCTAACCTGCTGTATCGTTAGCCTGATGTTCCAAAGGGGTAGATATGTTTTAGGTTTAAAACTATGGTTCTCTGGCTACTTTTAAAACTGAAAGTACTCTTCTTATAATATAAAGTAAATTTGTTATAATTTGTCCAAGAGATATCAAAATACATTACCTATGTTTTCATTTATGAAATTTTCTTGAAATATTTACTGCAGGCCAGGCGTGGTGGCTCACACCTGTAATCCCAGCACTTTGGGAGGCCAAGGTGGGTGGATCACCTGAGGTCAGGAGTTCAAGACCAGCCTAACCAATATGGCAAAACCCCGTCTCTACTAAAAATATTTTAAAAATTAGCCATGTGTGTTGACGTGCACCTGTAGTCCCGGCTACTCGGGAGGCTGAGACAGGAGAACTGCTTGAGTCAGGCAGGCAGAGGGTGCAGTGAGTGAGGTCACGCCACAACTCCAGCCTGGGCAACAGAGCAAGACTCAATCTCAAAATAAAAAAATAAAAACTAAAAAAAATAAAGAAATATCTCCTGCAAATAATATGTTTCATAAAATGCCTAATAGAATCTTTCAATACCAACATGAAAGCAATTAGAACATGAAGGTGTCTGAACTAGATCACAGTAGTGTGATTACATTTAAATATCTTTCTATAAGATGTGATGATACATACAGGGTAAATAATACAAGAAGACCTAAGATTATTATGATCTCAGAATTTCCTAATCAGAATGGGAATACAACTGTGCAATGAGAGAAATGGACTAAAGACAGAAATAAAAACAAATGATATGATTTAATATGATAAATTTAAAATTTCCACTTTATTTTCCACCATTTTAAAAGACCATTCCTTATAGTATTAAGTTTAATGCATTTTTAAAAATCAATAAAACAAGTAGCACATTTCTCTAGTTCAGGACTCCGCTTTCAGGGTTATAGTCAAAGATGATCCTAGAAGTGCATTTTAATTGGTCTAGGGTAGGACCATTAGACTGATGCTCTAAAATCTACCAAGCTGATTACAATATGTGGCAGTGTCAATAACCACTTTCTTAAACCCAAGTCGCAAAGTACATAAACCTACAAAAATGCTGAAAAATGGTCCAGGCGCTGTGGGGCTCACACCTGTAATCCCAGCACTCTGGGAGACCCAAGATGGCAGGATCGCTTGAGGCCAGGAGTTTGTAACCATACTAGTCTACACAGCAAGATCCCCATCTCTATTAAAAAATAAATATTTTTAAATGCTGAAAAATGAAATACTAAATTTTATAAATATATAACTTCAATAAAAGATGTGAAAATACAACTAAGTCATTATGACAATTTGTATGAAACAACATCCAATTTGCTGTCTGTTACTTCTCCTACCTTATCATGTCTAATTTTTCCTCATCTTTGTGAAATCCTGCGTCTACAGTAGGCAAGAAAACAAAAAACAAAAGGAATCTTACTCTATTCACAGCCATCAGAAAAATGTGTTACTATTCCTGTAGTCAGTCAGGTTCTAAACCACACATTTGAGATATATTTGAAACATGTCATAAAGAAAATAAGCATTATATTTCTCACTAAATAGCACCTAAAACATTCCATATGAAAGGAAAAATACAAAAAACTAAACTTTAATTACTAACCTCCTTAAAGGAAAATAATTCTATATGATTTGATGTTTGATAATGGATGTCCAATACCTGAGACATAAATTCCATTTTCTGGGTCCTAACATCTCAACTTCAGAAAATCCTCTATATTGGGTTACTTGGATTATATATTCAAAACTTAATATATTTGAAAATGTGCAGAATGATTTGTTGCTGCAACAAATGGTTTAGCAATTATCTACATTAAAACGTGTTCCATGAACAACAGAAAAAGAGTATTTCTACTTCAGTCCTTAAAGACTGTGAAAGCACAGCAACAGTCTTAGTTTGTCGATCTTGAATTCTTTTGGTATTTTAATTTCACCAGTAATTCTGGAACTGCTTTTTTCATATTTCTCAAAATGTTTTGTATTGCATTGTCCAATAAGGCAGCCACCATCATATGTGACCACTGAGCACTTCTAACGTAGCTAGTCACAATTGATATGTTTTAAGTATAAAGCATCTTGTTCATTTTTATACTGATTAAATGCTGAAATATTGTTTTGAATATACCAGGTTAAATAAAATAGATTAAAATTTATTTCACCTGTTTTTGTTTTTTTAAGTGTAACTACTAGAAAATGTAAAATTACACACATGGTCTGCATTATATTTATATTAGATAGCACTGGCTTACCATTCTACTGGTTGGTTAGCTTGTACCTCCAGATAACATCTGATAATCCAATTACTAGCTATCACAAACTAGATCTTTCAGATGTTTCCTATTAAAATGTTCATTTAATTTTGAAGTGAATTCCTCGAAAAGCTCATATAATACTATTACAGAAAATCAACTTAACAATTTGCCCACCATGGAACATAACTTAAGGTAAATCTACATTTCTCTGGTTAGTATTTACCGTACTGGTAAAGACCAAAGAATTGGTAAGGTTCAACAAAATATGAAAATGCCAGTGATGTTAACAAAAAATAGCTGGAAACCAAAGAATCTTGCTTACATCACAATCACAGCCAGGAAAATGCAGCTTATTTTATAGCCAGTCTCCAATGTGAAGAATATGCAGAAGAAACAATAAAAACATAAGTATAATACAGAAATGCCTGATATCAAAGAAATTAATGTAACAGAATACTGAATTTCAGTATTTCTAATGTAAGGATATACACACTCCTATCTGTAGAATATTTCCTGCAAGTTATGGCCCCAGTACCTCACTAATGGAAGATCTATCTTGTACTATTCAATTCATACTCTCCCTAATAACAGCACTGTATTAGTAGGTTCATCATCAAGTGAAGGCTGTTTGCTACGTAACTAAAACCAAGACTGGAAAACTAAAAAGCTGGAGGGAGGGAAAACACAGCCTACAAAATGCTTACAAGATTAGCAGCAAATGATGAAGTAGTAACAAGAGGGGCAGAAAAATAGATTATCATCAGATTTGGGAATTGAAAGACAGCTCAGCAAAATACTAGGATATGGTTCATATAAGATGGAATAAGCCTGGAAATACACCCCCCTCCCCAATATTTCAGAACATAAAGTCTACAGAAAAAGAGTCCTAATGTATTGAATCTGGTTTCTCAACTGAAACAAAAGTCTTCAAGGAAGAAGATACATGTAAAATTTTACAGGAATACATATGAAGTAGTATCTTTAAAGAATGTAAATATATGAACCAAAAGTAAATGTGAGATTCAAATTTCCATTGCTAAAGTCTTTTCAGAGTCACGACGACATTATTATTATACAACCATTCAAAATAAAACAAAAAAACTTACTGGAAAGGAGAACAACTGGTTTGAGAAGAAAAACCTTTCTTGGTAGAGCAGAAACAAATGTCAAGGAAAATACTTAGAAAAAAAGGCATATATAAAGAATGGTCTAGTTTTACTGCATACGTCTTTGCCATGCAGAAACAGCTAAATCCCATCTGACAACTACTTTGCCTTTGGTGTACCTTGTCTTTAGAGAACAAAATATATCTGGGTTTGATATAGAGGAGACTAATTTTCAAATTAAAAAATGATTTTTCTTAAAAGCCTGGCCTTACAGTTTAAAAATTATATGATTAAAATCGAGATATTATTCCTATAAAAAGCCAAACTTTAATCCATTTAAATCATGAAACTTAAAACTTAACTTGAAGCAATTTAAATCATGAAACTTAAAACTCCATATTACCACCGTGAATTAACACTTCTCCACTACCTGTTATCTTGCAATTTTAAAAAACACTTCAGAAAGTAGCAATTTCATAAAATTATGAATAGTTCATACCTATAGTATCTTCATTTTGCCATGCAGTTTTACTTAAATCTCACTTAAAAAGAAATGGAACTCATTCTTAAAGGGTAGAATGTACATAATGTAAAGCAGTCACAGGAAGATTTATCTTTACTTACTGAAAATCAACAGTACAATTCTAAGATTTTTTTCTCATGAAACTATTGAAATAAGTCCTACTTGAAAAAAGAAATCCCACAAGAGTTAGCAATTAATAAAAACATCAAAATGAGAAATTTCCCAGCAAGGAAAATTCCTGTCATAAATATTGATGTTTATGCGGTTAAAAATATACACAATAACTATACTGCATTTTAGGCTCTATTTTTACTGTGGCACAGAACTAAAAGAATTTTTAAAGCTCTATTAGAAACTATTATCAGCCGGGCGCGGTGGCTCACGCCTGTAATCCCAGCACTTTGGGAGGCCGAGGCGGGCGGATCACAAGGTCAGGAGATCGAGACCACAGTGAAACCCCGTCTCTACTAAAAATACAAAAAATTAGCCGGGCGCGGTGGCGGGCGCCTGTAGTCCCAGCTACTCAGGAGGCTGAGGCAGGAGAATGGCGTGAACCCAGGAGGCAGAGCTTGCAGTGAGCCGAGATCGCGCCACTGCACTCCAACCTGGGCGACAGCGTGAGACTCCGTCTCAAAAAAAAAAAAAAAAAGAAACTATTATCAAATAGGTTGCATCTTTATCGCCCAACTGAGTTGAAATTCTAAATAAGATCACTTCAAATTTAATAAATGACATTCTTCATTAACAGCATTTTTAAAATGGCTGAAACACATAAGTCAACATTACACTGAAGTTCTATCTGCAGACAGAAAAAGTTGCCATTCACACCAAAACTACACATATACCTTCTGATTTTATAGAATTGTTCCAATATCTTTTCTGTCAATATCATTAAAATCACCCTACCTGTTTGGACCGAGGTCTACCAGGAGAAAATTTTCTTTTAGTAATAGCTGGTTTACCCATGCCAATTTTTGGAGTGACTGAGATGTAAGTTGTTGGCATGATGTTTCCAGCAGAGGAACTAAGAGCTGAAGGGTAATTGTGCAGCATGTCATGCAAAGGCAAGTCTGAAGAAGGTGTTGGGGAGGAAGACACATCTGCCTTGCTTATGTCTGCTGATGATGAAAATGATGACTCTGTCTCAGATGATAACTTTATAGATTTGTCTCCTTGGTATGAAACATCTTTCACACAACTCTCAATTGTAGGAGTCATTTCAGAGTCCATCAATCCAGTAGAAAGTTCAGAATTTTCTTTCTGTTCCTTTTCTCCTTGTAGTCTTTCTATAACCAACTGTTCCTCAGGACATAGTGAAATACTTCCCTCATGTGGGGACACTAAGGTTTCCAGTGGAAGAGTGACAGATTCAATGACTAATTTTGGAGGCCCCGATTCTTCTTTGGATACCACTGTTTTAGGTTCCTCTAACAACTGCAGTTCCTCTTGCTGCACAATGATCTGGTGTGTAACGACTTCAATGTTTTCTGTCACTTCCATTTTATCTTCCATTTGATCTTCGCCACAAATATGCTTCACTTCAGAAGACGTTTTCATTTCTTCACTATCAACTTCATTAGAAATCTGTTTTTCCAATTCGGTATTCATTTTATGTTGGGATGATACTACAAAATTCAGAACATTTGTTACGGTAATGTACAAATTTTAAATTTTCTAACTATAGATATATAAAACATTTTGCTACACTAGAACTTAAATCAGAAGGTATTCATCAAAGCAGGCAATTATTAAGTGAATGAAAGCCAAAGTACACAAGGATTTATGGATTAGAATCAGCCCCACACATGAAAACATGATGTTTTACAATTTAAGTACTTCCAAAAGGACTGAAAATTATACAGGAAAAGTTCTCATACTCATTTTTTAGTTAAGAAAATGAGGATCAATCATGTTATGTGAGATACCTAAGTTAAAAAGTAAAGACTGACCTAGAATGTGAAGGCATTTTCTAATAGCAGATACCCAGATGTAACAAAGTTACTATAGACTCAAAAGCACAGACAGAAAAGATTTACTAACCACCAATATTTATTTTGCTTAACCATACCTGCCAACCTACCCAAAACATTCTTTGGATATAATCCTTGTTCCTCATCAGTCTATAACTTAAAAGACTAATCTTAGGAAATCTATAAACTTAGATATCAGAAAATACAGTCACTGGCTGGTAAATTTTAAATGAGGATACCAGCATGTTAAACCTTTAAGTCAATCTTGCTTAAACGTTAGAGGTGCAACTGACATGAGCTATAAGTGGTTCTATAAAGTAGGACCGCTGAAGATAAAAAGCATTTATTCCAAATCTCATCAAGGTAATTTTTAAGTTATAGTAAAAAGACACTACCATCCTCATTTACCAATCAGTGACTAAAATTTATCTGTGTTCTTTTTTTTTTGAAACAGGGTCTCACTCTGTCACCCAAGCTGGAGTGCAGTAGCACAAACATGGCTCACTGCAGCCTCAACCTCCTGGGCTCAAGTGATCTTCCCACCTTAGCCTCCCAAGCAGCTGGGACTACAGGCATGTGTCACCATGCCCAGATACTTTTATTAATTAATTATTTATTTATTTAGACAGAGTCTTGCTCTGTCGCCCAGGCTGGAGTGCAGTGGCGCGATCTCGGCTTACTGCAAGTTCTGCCTCCCGAGTTCATGCCATTCTCCTGCCTCAGCCTCCCGAGTAGCTGGTACTACAGGCGCCTGCCACCACGCCCGGCTAATTTTTTGTGTTTTGTAGAGACAGGGTCTCACTATATTGCCCAGGCCTATACATGTTCTGATATCAAACTGAAATCTCATCTTCTTTCTCACTTTATTGAAAGACTACAGCTAAGGATAAAAGAAAACTACCAAATAACAGATCTGATAGTACAATATATTTTTAACCACAACCACCTCCCCAACCCTCTTCCCCCCCAAAAAAAAACTCTTTCAAGAGAAACTAACCTCCTTTAGATCTACTGTCTCTTTAGATCCAGAATCTCTTAACTAAAAGATTTAGTTACTGTAATGTGTATACATACAGCAATTGCAAAAATGTCTTTGGAATAAAGACATTACCTTGTAACATAAAGACATTATCTTGTAACTCAATCAAATTAGATAATATGAACATACTGCTTACCAGCAATGAGAAGACTATCTGTGTCAAGACTTTCTGAGGGATGACTCTTCTGTTGCTCTTCAGTGTGGACTTGAACTGCTGTGAGTAACACATTTATAAAATCTCTAAGAAGGAGTCAAAATTTTTGTAACGCTGTTCCCTCAACAGTAATTTAAGTAAAGAGTTTTATTCTACTAAATGTCAATTTCCAATATAAGCATGAAACATTGTACCACTTGTTAGTAAGTTATGAAGACAAAATTAGAAGTCTTTGCACTATGGTAAAATTTTTTTGTCTTTTTCTCTTTTTCTTTAACAACTAGACCTCACGAGGAAGATTATAGAAAATAACTTTTAATGAGAGTTGTTATATGTGAACTTAATAAATTTCAAAATATCTCAGTGGCTTTTTATGTATACATTGTACTTTTTACGCATACTATATAATTGAACATAGAACTCCACATACAACACCAAAGACTTTCAAATGAGCCTGTGATTAAATGTAGTAAGTAATTTTCCCCCGACAAGGTCTCTTATTAATTCTGCAAGTACAGTAATAGCTTTTATCAATATGTACTACAAAAAGTTTAATTGAAATATCATGGAAATCAGTGAAATAACCCTCAATAGGACTGCTGAGATGATCCAATACAGCAAATTTTTCATTATCTTAGCATGAAACATCTCGTCATCATCAACAGCTCTACTTAGCAACTACAACTAAAGAAATAAAAACACAAATTGCTTTTTAACGAAAAATCACTTGATACCTTAACGAAGTACTTATGATTAAATCTAGATGATAGCTGAACTACAAATATACGCATGTCGTTTCTCCTATTATTTGTCTAAGATTATTTTACTAAAAAACTCTTCCTAAGTGACTGCATCTTGGTTTTTATTTACTGAAGTTTTAGTCAATATTCACATATTTATTGTACATACACATTCTCTTCAAAAACAGAGTATATCCATTAAATATTCTTACCATCTGGAACAATTCCAGGAGTGGACTCCTGATCGTTGACATCTTTACTAACTGCATGCTCTGGGAATACCATTTGATCTTCAGGGCCTTCAACTTCCATTTCATTGTTATAATCTTAACAAAACATTATTAATTCTTTAGCTCAGAATGAGTTTTTTTTGTTGTTCATTAAGTCAACAATTATGATTTTTGTATGAGTAAGGGCAAATCATCAAAAACGCTGTAAGTTTTTCTTCAGATTTTTCTCTTTTGAACCACATATATATTTACATTTTTTAAAAACATGAAAATTATAATACATCAAAAGGTGGGCCACGTGTGGTAGTTCACACCTGTAATCCTAACACTTTGGGAAGCCAAGGTGGAAGAAACACTTGAAGCCAGGAGTTCAAGACCAATCAGGCCAACATAGTGAGAACCCATCTCTAAAACAATTTTTTTAAAAAGGTAACTGGCACATTATTTTAAAAGGGTATTTCAAAACTAAATACTGATGGCATCCTGGAAATGAAACGTTAGTAGTTAAGATGCTTAGTTACCCTTTTGATAAAGGGTATGATAAAGAGAACTTTTATAAAAGCTACCACTCGTAGTGATGAAAATGAAAAACAATCTGGTGAGCAGTTCTATTTCCTTTATGCTCCAAGACTCATGTTTATAACAGTAGGCTACTACTAAAACTATTCCATACCTGAACAAAATCTTGGGCTGAAGAGGTGATAATTAACTTAAAAAGGACATTACAAAACTACAACACGCTTAGAGAAAACTCACATTATAAAGAACAAACTAAGCAAACCCAAAGACTGGGGAACTTCCACTGTCGGCTTAAAGAACACAAGTGAAGGAAAGCATGATAGACCTGGAATTCAAATACTAAAAAAACTATCTTAAGTTACATTCGATTTTAGCCATCAGATTCAGAGATGACCAACATAACAAATACATTTAAAAGTTGAGAAACTGAGAACAAGATGGAATCTGGAATACAGGATCCTCTCTTCTTGATTAAAGCAATATATTGGTGACACATTGGCACAACATTACAAAAAAAAAAAAAAAAATCATTCTCAAGTTTACCTGTAGTGAGCTCAGCTATCTCCACTTCCTCACCTGGCTGTAAAGGATCCATCTCAGCTCCCAGGTGTTTACAATACATGCAGATATACTCTTCTTTGAGCTGAGGATCCAGTTCATGATCTGTTGGTTTGTCACACTCTAGGTGAACCCACCTGCAGTGATAAGCATACTTAAATAAAAGTTTCTCACGTCAAGTTATTGTCTAGGTAAAGAGAAGGCATTGCTGAAAAGCTAGATATGAAAATGGTTAATTAAGGATGAGAGGAGAGACGTTAGAGGGGTTGCTAACTGACAAAGGTTTTTTAAAGGATTTTTTTAAAGGACATCTGTGGATGTCACTAGAGATGCTGCCGTATTTTTTACTTGACATTTTTAAGCTATTTTTTCTTTACTTTCCCTATCAGTGCTCATTTCTGATGTGGTCTGGTCTTATCTTTTGCCCATTTACTTCCTTATGCCTTTGAGACTCAAAACCATCATTTAATTCCATCTATAACAGCAATCAGTACTGATGGAATTGCTACAGTGATAAAAACTTAGAAGCTGTAAGATGGTAGAGCAAATGACCACATGAATAAAACAACTGACAAAACAACTGAATAGAATAACTATCTTCTTACCTTTTGCACATATTACAATGAAGCATGTCTTTCTGCAATTCTGGATGATAGCACTTCCCACAGAAGGGACATAAGTTATCCTGCTGTTGGTAACAATTGTCACATATCAGGCAATTGTGATGCCACTGAGAACTAGACCGTGTGCCACACTCTATACATATTCTGCAATTCTAAACACGAGGAAAAACAAAAACAAAAACACTTTGTTATGCATTTGTAATTGTAGTTCTGATGTAAACCTTTAAAAAAGTCATGAATCATTTGTGGATTGTACGTTTAGCTTTTATTTTCATGACACTAATTGAGGGTATAGGCTTTTTTTTTTTTTTTTTTTTTTTTTTTTTTTTTTGAGATGGACTTTCACTTTGTTGCCCAGGCTGGAGTGCAGTGGTGCAATCTTGGCTCACTGCAACCTCTGCCTCCTGGGTTTAAGTGATTCTCCTGCCTCAGCCTCCTGAGTAGCTGGGACTACAGGTGTGCGCCACCACGCCCAGCTAATTCTTGTGTTTTTAGTAAAGACAGGGTTTCACTATGTTGGCCAGATTGGTCTTCAACTCCTGACCTCAAGTGATCTGCCTGCCTCAACCTCTGAAAGTGCTGGGATTACAGGTGTGAGCCACTGTGCCTGGGTATACACCTTTTAAAAAGCTGTTTTCAATGTCTGATGTGACCTCACAAAATCTGCACTGAAATCTCCAGGAAAATGTAAATAAGGGAATGGGGATATCCAGGAAAACATATAGGTGGAAGAGATGAAACCAAAAAGACAGCAACCCAAAACTCAAAAAAAGAAACATATTCTAGGATCAGGAAGTAATTTTTGTGGAGTAAGTCTACTCAACCTATTACACTGCAGAAAGCAAAATGGTGTTACTACATATAGTATTCTTCTTGCTTCTTGGTAGCTTAAGAACTAAAAACTAAAACTAAAGAACTCTCTCTTAAAACAATAGCATGGCCAGCCTGGTGCGACAGGTTGATGTCAGTAATCCCAGCACTTTGGGAGGCCAAGATGGGAGGATCGCATGAAGCCAGGGATTCGAGACCAACCTGGGCAAGAAGACAAAACACCCCTTTTCTACAAAAAAAAAAAAAAGTTTAAATTAGCCAGGCATGGAGGTGCACACCTGTAGTCCCTGCTACTTGGGAAGCTGAGGCAGGAGGACAGCTTGAGCCCAGGAGTCTGAGGCTGCAGGGAGCTATCACGCCACTACATTCAAGCCTGGGCAACAATGCGAGACTGCCATGGTGGGTGGGCAAACACAGAGCATGGCCAACTCCATGTGACTTGGTGTCTGAAAATGTGAAAATAAATTGCTCCACATCAAAGTCCAATGATGGCCCTTCATGTTTTTAGAATAGAGGGAGTGGTCCTATCCTTACCAAATTAGAATCGTTTATGAAGTAAAAGGCCAACCAGAGGCCAGCCAAAACTACTTCTGTGCCTGTGAGCTAGTCAGCCTTAAAATCCTGGGGATAAGGTTAATAAATTGTGGGGCTCTCATTACCCACCCCAAATTTCTAATCTAAAACATCAATAAAAAGGAACTTTATCTTTCTGTGCTACTGGGCTGATATGAAAGGGATGCTCACTTAAAAAGAGAAACTACTAGGAACCATAGATCAGAAGTCTTAAAGATTAAAATGAATGCACTTTAAAATACTGAGGGAAAAAATACTAAATAGCTGGGCATGGTGGCACAGAACTGTGGTGTCATCTATTTGAGAGGCTGAGGCAGAAGGATCTCTTGAGCCTAGGAGGTAGAATTCAACCTGGGCGACACACTGAGACCCCATCTTTTGACTACATATACATATTTTTTTAAAAGAATGTATTATCCTTTATCGAATGAGAAGGAGAAAAGAAAAACAATCCTAAATAAAATACTATCAAACAGATCAATACCACGTTAAGAAAATAATAACTATGCCCAGGTGGAGTTTATACAAGAAATTCAAAGATATTTAATATTAGAAAAACCCATTAATAAAGTTTAACAAATTAGAAGGGAGGAGAAAAAAATCATTTCAATGCAACAGATGCTTAAAGAAAGAAGTCTTTGGGAAGAATCAAAACCCATTCCTAATAACTCTTGAGAAAGTAAAAATGGATGGGTATTTCTCTAACGTGATCCACATAAATACTTCAATTCTAAAGGCAATACCTTATTTTATGGGGGAACCCTAGAGGTATTCCCACTAAGGACAGGAAAAAGCAAGGGTGCCTACTATCGCCACTACTATTTTAACATGTTTCTGGAGCCAATGCAAACATGGAAATAAATGAAAGCAGAGACATTAAGACCAAGAAAAGAAAAAACTCTATTTGTAAATAGAGTTGGAACATCCTAGAAAATTTTTCAAAAACTCAATAAAAGAATTCAACAAAGTACTAGGATATAAAATTAGCAAGCAAAAGACAACAGAATTCACACACACAAATAACCAGTTAAAGGAAAGTAAGAAAACCCCCTTTATAACAGCAGAAAAATAAATATTCAAGAATAAGCTTAAATGTTCAAAATCAGTATTAAGACAATTATAAAACACTCCTAAAAGACACAAAACTAGACTTTAACAAACTTGTGAAGACATCCCTTGTTCTTGGTTAGGATGTCTTAAAATCAAGATGTCAATCAACTCTCACTAAATATATATATTTATGTTTTGGAGACATGGTCTTGCTTTGTAGCCCAGGCTAGAATACAGTGGCATGATCACGGCTCACTGCAGCCTCGACCTCCTGGGCTCAAGTGATCCTCCCACCTCAGTCTTCTGAGTAGCTGGGACTACATAGTGAGACCCTGTCTCTACAAAAGCAAAAAATTAGCTGGGCTTGGTGGTACACATAACTCCTAGCTAACTCGGGAGGCTGAGGCAGGAAGATTGCTTAAGCCCAGGTCAAGGCTACAGCGAGCTATGACCATACTACTGTACTATGGCCTGGGAGACAGGGTGAGACACTGTCTCAAACAAATAAGCAAAAAAAAAAAAAGAACAAATAAACTAGCAGAAAATATTTGCATCATGTAACACAGATGAAGGCCTTACATCCCTAACTTATAAAGAACTCTTAAATTTAGGGGAAAAAAATGCCAAAATCTTCAAAAACAGGCAAAACACATGAACAGACAATTCACGAGAAGGAATAAAAACTGACCCTTAAACACATGGAAAAACGATCAACTTCACTCTTAGGAGAAACAAAAATTAAAACTACATTGATATACCACTTTTCACCCAGAAGACAGGCAAACATTCAAAAGCTGAACAAGTCATCCTGTTAGCAAAGATGTAGGAAAAGTTCTCTCATACATCTCTAGTAGCAATGCAAAGTACCATAAGCCCCAAGAAAGGAAATTTGACAGTTTCTAACAAAGCTACGTATGCGTACACTCCTGAGACAATAATCCTACTTCTAGGAATTTACCCTATAGATTTGTCCCTGAGAATTCAAAAATACATACTGTAAAATCATTTATAATGCAAAATATTGTAAACTATCAAAATACCAAAGCACAGGCCACTGGTTGAGTAACCCATAGCACAGATACACAGTGGAGTGCTATGCAGTTGTTTAAAAGCAGAATGAGATCTCTTGAACTTGCCTAACTTGCCTGGAAGTGATTTCCAGATTTTATTACATGAAAACAGCAACATGCAAAAGAACATATACAACATGCTACCTTCAGTGAAAGTAAGAGCAATATATCTTCTTAGAGGAAAAATAACAGGAAGTTTAAAACAGAAAACAATGAAGTTAGTTACCTCCAAGAGGTTGAAGGAAATGGGGTATAAGTAATAAACAAGAGGCAGTGACAATTCTGAGCAAAACTTTATATAGCTTTGAGTTTTGAAAGTATACTAATATCTTCTATATTTAAAAAATTAAATCACTAAGAAAAGAAAGGGGAATAAAATCTATTACTGAGAGCAAACTGAAGCAGATTTGTTTTTTAGATGGAGCAACTGAATAAATGTGCTGACGTTGCTGCAACCCAGAATTTTTATTGTAGAAGAACAGACATGCAAGAATGAGAAGGCAAAGAACTCAGTGGAGAAGGATAAGAACTGGGGGTACTGGTGTAAATTCATTATTTCTAAGTTATGTATATGTAAGGGTATATGAATATTTATGTGTACAAATGGAAGTGTAGGGTATCCAATCTTTTGGCTTCCCTGGACCACACTGAAAGAAGAAGAATTGTCTTGGGTCATACACAAGATACACTAACACTAATGACAGCTGATGAGCTATGCACACCCCCCCCCCAAAAAAAACACCTCATAATGTTTTAAGAAAATTTATGAATTTCTGTTGGGCCACATTCAAAGCCATCCTGGACCACATGTAGCCTGCGGGCCATGGGTTGGAAAAGCTTGTGTAAGTGTATACACATGCATGTATTTCCTGACACCACCAGGTGAAAGGGTGAAGAAGCAAACACCCTCCAGTAGCAACGAGCACACCCAATACCCACTCCCCACTAAAGGAATCCAGGACTGGGGCATGGGAGGTATAAGATGAGCTTGTAACATCTTGTTATACCAAAAAGTAATGAAGTGTTCACATAAGTGGTGAGGGCAGAACACTGGCACCAGCTTGAAGGAGCAACTGACAGCAAACATGGGACCATGTGAACACAAAAAATAATTAGGTAATGAGTTGTAAATGACTGACTGAAGATAATAGGAGCTCATGAGTCAATATCAATAATTAGTAAGTTTAACATGTGAAAGAAGTATTCTTGCTTACAAAAGAAAGCAGAGGGCTAACTGGTAAATGTGGTGGGAGTGCTAAGAGCTGGAAATGCATCATTTGCAACCAAAAGAAAGCAGGTTAAAATGGCATCATCAGGCAGTAAGTTTTTTGTTGCTGTTGTTCGAGATGGAGTCTATCTCTGTCACCCAGGCTGGAATGCAGTGGCATGAGCTCAGCTCACTGCAAACCTCTGCCTCCCGGGTTCAAGCGATTCTCCTGTCTCGGCATCCTGAGTAGTTGGAATTACAGGCAGCCGCTACCATGCCTGGCTAATTTTTGTACTTTTACTACAGACAGGGTTTCACCATGTTGGCCACGCTGATCTCAAACTCCTCACCTCAAGTGATCCGCCCGCTTCAGCCTCCCAAAGTGCTGGGATTACAGGCGTGAGCCACCACCCCTGGCCTAGGGAGTAAGTTTTTAAAATCTAGAAGGAAGTTCTGAGGAAAAGCAAGATATCTGCATGGTCTTAAAGTGTCTCCTCACATACTGCTTTATTAGATACAAAGGAGGGGGAAAAAGAAGAAATTGGGCAACAGCCTGACCAGGTGATTCCCATGAGGGAAAGTGGAATAATGTATGCTTCCAGCTGTGATACCTTGAGGATGGATCAGCACTTTGCAGTATTCTGGCCAATAATGCATGCCTCTCATCTAATCATAAGGGAATATCAAAGACAAAATGGGGAAATTTCTGTTTGAAAAAAGAAAAAAACAAGTATATTGGGAAGAACTCTATTCTTCAAAAATACCAATGACAAAAACTAAATCCTAGAACCTACTTGGAGGAAGGGGTAGGTTATGAATGACATAAGATCAAATGACATAATTGGAATACGGCTAAACATACTACACTGATGTAAGTTTAGGAAGTTGACAGCAGGATTGTGATTTTTTAAGAATATTTCTATTATTAAGAAATACATATTGAAATAGTGGTAAAAAGGCGTAAGGTATGTAATTAACCCTCAAATGGTAGGGGACTGGGGGGAATAGAGACACACACATACATACACACACAAAGTGAGGGCATGCCCAATGATAATGAAATGCTAACAACTGATGAATCTAAGTAAATGGGATACGGGTATTATTTTTATTTTTTCCAACTTTTAGAGTTTGAACTTATTTTCAAGTAAAAATTTTCTAAAAATGCATAACACACCAACAGACAGACATTCTTGAGATAAAAATAGGACAAAGAAACCTATCTGACAACGACTGGTTTACAATAAAGATCCTGAAAAGATCACCCCGACTCCAGTTCACTAGAGAGCAGCCCCAAACTAGACCGACAGCCCCTTGGGGGCACACCGATTTGCCCCCACATCTCCAGCCTTGACCACAGTGATATTCACACACAGTAAACACTCAAATGTTAAATGCAAACAAATGAGCAAATTATGACTCAAGACTACAGAGAGAACTACAGAAGAATTTAACAGCAGAGAAATACAATCATTCTTCAAATGGTTCAAAGGACAAACCTTCCAAACCATGAAAAACTCTATGGTAACTGTTTCTGTGCTTACTTTGTGTTAGGCATTGTGCTGGGCACTTTATAGACACCACTTCATTAAATCCAACACCCCTGTGAGGTAACTACTATTAACCTTCTATACACTGACTTACGGAAGTTATATAGGTAGCCAAAGATCATAAATTTAATAATTGAAGAAGCTGAAATTTGACTCCACAGCATAAGCTTTTAACCACCACATTATAGTGCCTTCAAAGAACAGAATAAAAAGATTAAGTACCCAATAGTATTCCCAGAAATTATGTAATTCTGTCACTCTGAAAGAGAACAGCAGATTACAAAGAGCAAATTAGAAAGGAGCACACCAAAGGGGAGACACAACAAGCTGAGAAAGAAAGAAACCCAGAATTCTCTACTAGTTCTCAAGATAATGAAAACCGTAATAAAGAAGATTAAGAGCAGGAGACAAAAATTATCCAGCAGTTACTAGATGCTATTAGAGAGTGTAAAGAAGGTAATTTTTTAAGTAAATATATATTTTTAAAAAGGTGTTGGGGTGGGGGAGACAGGGACTCACACACATCTCCCAAAGCTTTCAGGAAGGAAAAAAAGGGTTATGATTAAATTTTTTAAAGTAAGATTTTTCTTGTGACAGCATAAATGAAAAAACTGAAGAAAATGTTTTCAGAGTATAAAAAAGAAAAATTTGTAATATGAAACATTATACTATGCCAAATTCTTATAGTCTAAAGGGAACAGTCTCTTTCAGACATGTAGGGTTTCAGAAAATTTATAATTCTTTTTAAAGGAACATAACCAAGACTCCAAAAGATTGAGGGTAAAGTTGGAATTAACAGAGGAAATATATTTTTTGCAAGAAAATTGTGTCAAGGTTTATAATCTAGGTTAATCAAATCAAACAGAGAAAAGGGGAATAAAAACTTCATTTTCGGTGGGGAAGGGGAGAGGAGAAAATTTATATATTTAACATTCATAATCATTTACATTCACAAAATGAGATTCTGAATTATAAATCATTGCGGGAAGTAAAAGAAGAGAAAAATAGAAAGAAATTGTATGAACAATTTTGCCTCAAAATAGCCAAGCATTTCAATTACAACCATCAATCCAGATACCTCTATTAAGCTTTTCAAAAGATACATTTAAAATAACACAAAAGAATCCAAAATAAAAAGATGTGAAAAGATAACTATTCAACTGGCAAACTAACACCCTACGTGGCCATAGTGTCAGGCAAGACAAAATACCTGCCCTTCCTGATCCCTCAACAAAAAACACATTACATAGAATAAAGAACAATTTTATACTGGCAAAAAGCACAACATACTAACACTGGCCTGACCTACTTGCTAAATAACAGCCACAAGGTATTTGTTTAAAAATATGATAAACTGATAGGAACAATTAATAGTGGTCAATTGTAACAACTTGTTAAATCAACATGTCAAAAATAAGGTAAAAGGACTTCATCTAACTAAATGAAATTAATAAACACAAATGCTACACCTTTAAAAAGTCACTGCTTCAAGTATCAAAACATTTATTTAAAAAAACCTACTTTAAATTATCTGATTAAATGAAATTAAAGCATAAATTAACATACTTCAGCACAACTTAAAAAAAGATAAAGCTGTTCTGTAAGGTATATACATACATAAAGTTACAAATACAATAAATTTGGCTTCAGCCAAAGCTATAGCCTAAGGTAAACTTACCGTCTTAAATGTCCTTTTTCCTTAGGGAAGGAAAGAAAATGAATTACAAATTCAACTTCGTATTAGAAGTAAAAAGGCAAGTTGAGGAACTGAGTGAAGAGTATAAATATGCAAATCAGTCAAACAGCAGAGTTTTTCCTTTCCAATAAGTCATTCAGCAAGAGAAGGAATCTGAACTACCTGAGGAAGCAGGCCAGAGGTCATCACAATTCTTCAGCCCTCAGGCTCCACTTCCCAGGTAGCCACAGCTGAGCACAGTTACCCAGCAGCTCTTTTTTTCCCCAGGAGAGAAGGCCCCTCCCCTCAATCCCCACCACTCAGGCAGAAGCCTAATAGAACTTGCTGAAGACCACAATAGAACCTGGTAATACGGCTTTCAGCTCTAGGTCCAAACCTCACTGGCAGGGGCAGGGCGCAGGTGCGGAATCTCTGCTTCTGCAGCCACCTCCTCCCCATCCTCCACCCCTCCCCCCGCCCGCCCACCTCGGGAACCTGAGGTTCTGGCCACATCACCTTCCTTTCCCAGGCCCACCGCCTCCTCACTAGAAAAAGCAATTCCAAGAAGGGCAATGACGACGCTGTGCCTTCCACTCCCGCGCACGGGCCATCAGGCCCTCTCCAGCTCCAGGAAAAACCCACTCCAGGCCCATGCAGCACCTGAGGGTCATCTCCATCCCTCAACCTCTTAACACCAGTAGCCCAGGAAGACTAAGCTTCAAAGCTAAACCACACCTCGGATTCCAAGGGCCATCTCCACCACCCCACTGCCCCCCACCCAGCTCTGAACACCTCACCCTGGAGGGGCAGAAGCCAAGTGAGATAGGAAGTAAGTTAATAAGTTCATCGGCATATTTTATAATAGCTCAAAATTTTAAACAACCCAAATGTTCACCAACAGGTGATTCAATAAACAAATTGTGGTATCTCCAGCACTCAGTAATAAAAAAGAACCACTACTGACCTGTGCAGCAATATAGACGAATTTCAAAATAATTACACTGAGTTAAAGAAGCCAGACCAAAAACGAGTATATACTATATGAAGCTTTTATTAAACATTCTAGGAAGTGAATACTAATCTATAGTAGAAAAGCAGACTGGGAAGACAGAGGTGTTTGAACAGCCGCAAAGCAAGCCAATAGGCACCATGAAACTTTTGGCGGTGATGACTATGTTCACTATCTTGAAGAGTGTACAGTTTATTGTATGTCAATTATAAGTCAATAAAGCTGTTTTTTAAAAAGCTGATGGTAATGTATAGATTTGAATAGGTATCCGATTTGTCCGTTCTCTATATAAAACATACAGAGGCTTTTAAAAAAATAAACAACTTACTTTGCATTTCCAGCCATTAGTTGGTACTGATTTCATAACTGGTTGAAGACAAAAAGTATGATACCCTTTGTCACACGTATCACACACTAGCATCTTGCTATCTTCTCCCGATTGTCTAAAAAATAAGATAGCATTAATGATGCCTTATCTTTAAACTTACGTTTTGTAACATAAGTAATCATGAAAATAATCAGTCCTGGGAATTGCACAGTTCATAAATACCTCAGTATCTGTTTTGTCTCTGCAGATAATAACAGAGGTAACCCTGCCATAAGGATTACCTCCTAAATGGTAATCTTTACTCAATGCTCACTTATGGTTAACTTGCTCTAGCCATTTTAGGATTCATGCAAAGGAGGAAGAGTTAAGGCAAGATGAATAGCCTCTGGTCTTTTCTTTTAGAATATAACTTTCGAGAGGAAGGCGCTATAACTGCTAGGTGCTACTGTGTGGAAAGGAACAAATCTTGAAAAGACACTGTCATATAATGTAAAGATGATCAAGTTTGGCATCAGATTTCTGTTTGTATTCAGGCTGCTGTTTTCTAGCTGTGTCACTGAACAACTTAGACTAAAGCTCTCTGAGTTTCAGGTATAAAACGGGAATAAAAAAGATTACTGTGAGAATTAAACGTAATGCAGGTTCAAGTGCTTAGAATGTCTATTAAGCAATTAAATGCTGAATAATTATTTCAAAATACAAACCTTGTCATAATTATTAAGAATTACAGTTGAAAACCTAAAACCTTTCTCTAAACACTCTTCTGCCCCCAAAGATTAGGCCCCTGTCCGATAGCATTATCTCTGTTGAGATTTTTGACTATTAATCACTTTCAGATACTATGATTTTAATGTCAAGAGGAGGGAAAAGAAAAAATGGGGAATGCAAGAAGAGTTGAGAGAGGAATCTCTGAACGAAATCTGGGGGATAAATAGAAGTCAACAGGAAGATGGGTCAGTTGGCCTCCAGTTATTATTCAGTTCAACCTCTACATAAAAAGTCACGTTTTATCTCTTCAGCTACATGGAAAGATCTTGGAGAAAAAGCACTCTTCCTTCAAGTTCTTTCAATCCTTCCCAAGAAACTGAGTGCAGATACAAGGTATCAAATAAATGTTTACTGATATTTTATCTAATTTTTACCAAAATATTGGTAAAAATAAGGTATGTAGTCCTATTTATGTCACATAACTCTAAGATATCAATGCTTATTTCTTATCAAATTAAATAATAAAAACAGACTGATCATGGCAGTTGGGCATAATTCTTGCTGGTTACAACAAAAATCCTCAGCCTGTAAATGAAGATGCTGGTAACATCCCCAAATCATCGAGGTCATTAGAATGATGGGGGTGCAAGGGGAAATCACAGAAAAGACTGGAGAAATGACCAAGAGATTAAATACAATAGGAAAAGATAACCCCCTTACAAATTTGTAAATGCCACACATTTCATTTTGGAATTATGCTGACCAGGACCTACTCAAGGTGGCTTTTAGAGAGATGCAGATGTACATTAAAATAATAGAAACTGTCCTTCCTGGAATGGAAATTCAAACACATGACTGATTTTTTGGTTCAACTCTAATTCTTCTACTTCTGTAGTTAGAGGTTTAAATCCTATTAAATCTCCTCCCCAGTCCCCCTTAAGAAAAGCTGCTTTATTCTTCTAATGCATGTTTTAAATTGTTAACATCGCTTATTTTTTAAATTGTTGGCAAATTTAAATTAGCTTTTTAGACAATCAGAGCAATTTAAATTATTAAAATCAGTTTTGTTTAAACTTCTTTCAAAATAATATAAATGTTAATATCCAGTAATGTTTTAAAGTATGATGAAGTCACTCTGAATGAATATAGCTAAAATATGAACAACCTTTATTATACTACACAAACCTTTAGCACCTATTAATAGGATCCCTCTTAAACTCAATACACAGCTTTGAATTGAAATTAAAACTTACTTGCAGTTCTGGCACACTTTGCACTCAGGACATTGCCAACCTGCACGTTTTAATGGAGTAACCGCTATATCCAGGCACATTCCATGATAGTGCTGACCACAAGTAGTACAAAAGAACTGATCTAAGAGGTCTCCCGGGCTGTCGCACACTGCACAGTTTGCATCTTCCTTTGCTATAATTAACAGTAAAACAATGAAATTATTGTATAAGAATTTAAAATTTTTCTGACTTTACAGTAAAATCATTTGAAAGGATTTGCATCATGAACCTTTCAGACATTTGAAGTTATTCACATTGAATTGTCATCTAATCAGAAAGAGGTATCAATAAAAACACTAGGGAATTTAATCTAAATGTAACCACATTAAATTTAATCGTATAGTTTTGCAATTATTTGTGGCTATATCTACTTGAGACCATAAGCAGTTCTTTAATTTTCTATTCCTAATGCCAATGATAATGCTGGATACCTAATTAATGCTCAATATATGCTGATTGGAAAGAATCAAACAAGGAAAATACCAACTGAGAAACACTTTGCAGTATAACATAAACATTTTCTTTGAATGTTAAATTTATTTTGAAATTACAAAATCAGGTAAGAGACAAAATCAAGAAACGTTAGTATCAATTAAACTAAGATGCTTCTTAAGCATAAACAGACTATTCAAATCACATAAGGGCTTTTTTTAATTACTGGAAAATGTCTTGTGTAGAAGAACATTAAAGACAGAAGCTACACATTCATACATAAACAATTACTTAATATACTAAATTATATATTCATCTATATTAATTTCTAGTTGTAAAAGCATTAAAATCCACATAATTATGGACATCATCCATCCCTAAATGTGGATTAAAACAAAATGTACTAACAGTTCTTTTAACATATAAAACAGAAAATAAATATAAGGATAAAGTGCCCTGCCAAATATACAATTAAACTTATGCACATTGAAAAATAAGAAGGAAAATAATTCTAAAATCATACCAATCTTAGATAATATATAAAAAAAATGCCTGTATATAACAAGTATCACAAAGTATATGAATCTTTTCATTTTTTGAGGGTTTGATCATTCCTATTATTGACTCATATGTTCTTTCTTTTCCAGTCAAGCATATCATACCAACCTTAGATAATATATATAAATATGCCTGTATTTAACAAGTATCACAAAGTCTATGAACCATTTTTTTTCCTTTTTTTTGAGACCGAGTTTCACTCTGTCACCTAGGCTAGAGTGCAGTGGCATGATCTCGGCTTACTATAACCTCTGCCTCCCAGGTTCAAGGGATTTTCATGCCTCAGCCTCCCCAGTAGCTGGGATTACAGGCATGTGCCACCACACCCATCTAATTTTTATATTTTTAGTAGAGACGGGGTTTTGCCACATTGCCCAGGCTGGTCGCAAACTCCTGAGCTCAAGCAATCCTCCTGCCTCAGCCTCCCAAAGTGCTGTGATTATAGGTGTGAGCTACTGCACTCAGCCTTTTTTCCATTTTTGGAAGGTTTGGTCAGTCCTATCAATTCCTCTCTGACTCATACGTCCTTTCTTTTCCAGTCAAGCATCTTAAAACAGAGTAAAAATATATTTCCTTTATTTGTACAGGAGTCTGCAAACTTTTCCTGAAAAGGGCCAGATAGTAAATATTTTAGGCTTTGTGAGCCACAGCAGTCTCTGACAAAAAGTCTACTTTTTGTTTTTATTTACACGCTTTTAAAAATGTAAAAATAATTCCTCGCTTGAGGGCAGTTACCAAAAAACCGGCTTCAAAATTTGGACGCTGGCTGGACCTCTGATACATTTCACAGAGGCTGGCTTAGCACCTACTACTCATCTGAAGCTACTTGAGTGAGGCTGCCAATGCACACAGGAAACCAGATGGTTACGTTTTAGTCTTTGGTTTTTTTTTTGCACTTTGTAGCATTTGCATTTCTAACCACTTCCACATTAAAATGCCCCCTTCCTTAGTTTCTATCATGGCAACTCTCTCCCAATTTCTCCTTAGGTTTTCCCCTACTTTCGTCTCATCCACCTTTGTTGGCTGGCTTTTGTACCTATGCAATCTTTCTAAATGCTGGAGTTTCTTAGGATTTCATCCTTTTCCTTCTTTCCTAATCCCCCATAGTTTCCCTTTGTGATCACATCAACTCTCACACCATAAAATGCCACCATGATTCCCAAATCTATACTATTGGCCCTAGAATTCTTTCGTAAGCCCCAAACCTTTATTCTTCAAGTCTTACTGGATCTCAATAGCCAGATGTTCTAATAACATTCAAACTCAACTGCTCAAAAGTGAAACTTTTTTAAAAAACCAAAACATCATCCATTTTTCTCAAGAATGGATAAAGGCAGAAACCTTATTATCATTGTTGACACAGAACTCGGACCTGACCCAACACATCCAGCCAGATCCCAATTCTTATGTATTAAACTTCCTATACATACATCATTCTTCCTTATATGTTTATAGTTTAGTCTAGCATACTAAGTTGGTGCAAAAGTAATTGCAGTTTTTGACATTACTTTTAATGGCAAAGACCGCAATTACCTTTGTACCTACCTAATATTCTGTCTTGCTAATTGCATTATCTTCTGCATCAAACCATCCATAGTTATGGTTCTGACATCCTCTCTAAATCATTTTCTACACATCCAGAACAATCTTTCAAAAATGTAAATCTGTTAACCTCTGTATAAATTAAAACTCTACCAATACCTCATTTTTCACCTAAAAGAAAATCAGAATTTTCAAGTATAAAGCAAAAAGGCCCTTATCTCCCTTTCCGACTGAATCTCAGAACAACTCCCTATTGTGTGGTCATGGTGGGTTGTCTGCCATGCACCTCACATAACCTGCTATTCATGTTTGTGTGGTCGCACACATTCTGTTCCCTCTGCTTGAAATTTTGTGTTTCTGTCGAGCTTGCAGCCTTCAAAACTCTGCTCATGGCTGGGCACGGTGGCTCATGCCTATAATCCCAGCACTTTGGGAGGCCAAGGCAGGTGGATCACTTGAGGTCAGGAGTTCGAGACCAGCCTGGCCAACACGGTGAAACCCAATCTCTACTAAAACCACAAAATTAGCAGGGTATGGTGGCACACACCTGTAGTCCCAGCTACTCAGGAGGCTGAGGCAGGAGAATCGCTCGAACCCGGGAGGTGGAGGCTGCAGTAACTGGAGTTTGCGCCACTGCACTCCAGCCTGGGCGACAGAGTGAGACTCTGTCTCAAAAACAAACTCTGCACATTATTTCCTGAATACCTATTACCACACCCAAATATTATCCATTTAGTTGTTGAATATTACGTTTTCCCATATGCTTATAAGAAACTTCTGTTACATAATCAATTAATTACAGCACAACTCTGTGAATCCTTGAAGGACAGGGGCCTTAACTTTTTTAACTTTGTATCCCCAACTGCCTAACATGAATCAAGTCTTATTGAACATATTTTAAGTGAAGGACTTAACTGCTAAAATCACTTTTAAATGGCTCCTAAAGTGACAGGCATTTAAAATAAATCATTAATCTAAAAATGAAAGCGTCATAAACTAGTTCATTTTTGATAGAAAGGACATAATTGGGATAATTTATTTTTCTTAATATTAAAGAGTACCAGTATTTATCTTTCAAAACATGTACATTTAAAAATTGATCTCTTTTTGCTCACCTTAAAACTGTTTAAAAATCAGGGGAATACTCAACTAATTATCAGAAACTAATTATCAGATAATCAATTCATTTTTCTATTATACTTTCCTAGGAACACTAAAATGCTTCTGTGAAACTTCCTAGAGTTTGCTCCCCTGACACTTCAACTTGCCATGGCAGCTACTAGCGACATGTGGTTTCTGAATAAGTGAAATGTGATTAGTTCAAATTGAGGTGTGCAGTAAACATAACATGCACGCTGGATTCCAAAATCTTAATAGGGGAAAAAAGTCTCTCAAAATTTGAAATATTACTATTTTGGATGATTGAATTAAATAAAATTTATTACAATTATTCCCAAATGTTTCCTTTTACTCTTTTTAACATGCCGACTAGAAAAATTACTTATGTTGCTCACATTATATTTACACTGCACAGCACTGTTTATACAACAAAGCCCACTCTGCAACAAGACAACTGTCACTGTCACAAAACCCCCTTTTTTTTTTTTTCTTTTTTTAGACGGAGTCTTGCTCTGCCGCCCAGGCTGGAGTGCAGTGGCCGGATCTCAGCTCACTGCAAGCTCCGCCTCCCGGGTTTACGCCATTCTCCTACCTCAGCCTCCCGAGTAGCTGGGACTACAGGCGCCCACCAACTCACCCGGCTAGTTTTTTTGCATTTTTTAGTAGAGACGGGGTTTCACTGTGTTAGCCAGGATGGTCTCGATCTCCCGACCTTGTGATCCGCCCGTCTCGGCCTCCCAAAGTGCTGGGATTACAGGCTTGAGGCACCGCTCACTTTTTAAACTATGATGATTTCCACCAATTCCTTACTGACAACCTTGCTGTGTTACTGGATTACTATGGATCATTGGTAATAAATTAGTCAAAGAAAAACATCCATGTAATACATCCGGTGCAAAAACACCTAATATGCCTTCCTTATGTGAAAAACAATAATCTTTAAAAGCACTACACAAACAAATGAGGTTGGTTCCAACCCTCCCAGTCAGGGAGCTGTGTGGGAATACTGAAACAACCTTTTGGAGGTCATGTATAAGAAGATTATCGATACTACTAGACAGCTTTGGTGTCATGTCAGAAATTAACTATGCATATTTAGAAACACATATGTCTGTAAGCCAGAGACATTAAGTTTAAAGTAATACTCAACTAAGAAATTTTTCTTTAAACAGCTGAAAAAGCAAAAAGACAGGCTATAACTAAAGATAATTTAAGAGGGGACAGGAGTAAAATCCAGGTCTATGTGGCTTCTAAGATCAGGCTCTTGACTACTAATCAAATTGACTCCTCAGCAAACTTCACTACTCATCAATGAAAGTGATGAGTATTTGAGTATACACAAAAGTAGACATGAAATGCCAACAGTGGCATACAATGAAGAAGTTAAATGAAGTAAGGGGAGCAAGGTTCTTATGGCAGAAGAAAAGTGAGAGGAAACAAAATAATCATCTTTGGAGAAAGTCATTTCCTAAGAGACAGCTGAAAAAAGAGAAGAGGGAAATAAAAAAGACAAAAACATTGAGCTTAAATTAGAATGGAGCTTATCATAGATCCTTAAACTTGATGAAGCTATTGCTTAAGAAAGTCCAGACAACACGTAAGAATAAAAGCATTGGTGAACAGCAACAAAAGTTAAAATAGCTGTCATATAGTGTGAATTTAAGAAGGACCAAATCGGCATTGCTTTCTAATTTCCACCAAACCCTATCATCTGCCAATTTTCATTACTGGCAGGACACTGTGCTGGGTGATTTGCCTATGAAAGGGAATCTCTGGAAAGAAAAAATAAATCATGGATGTCATTCAAAGAGGCTAGACCATATCATTGGCAGATAGATAAGAAAGGTCAGAGGACTGACAGAATTTAGGGTAAAAGAAAAGCAGCAGGACTTAATGTCAAGAAATACAAAGATAACCAAAGAAAAGAGGCTGGAGTTAAAGCTTAAGTGAAGTAAAAGGAATTAAGCTAAATGATGAGTAAATACATTGAGGAACAGGGGGTGAATTAAGATATGTAGCATTTCCACGTTTAAACCCTGCAAAGACTTCTCATTGCAGACTGAATAGAACCCAAACTCCTTCCCTTGCTTACAAGGCCTACATGATCTAGCTTTTGTTCGCCTTGATGATGTCTCTACTACCCACCTAGTAGGCTACTACGCTCCAAGTAAAACGACATGCTATCTGTTCATGAATCATGCCAAGTCCATTCCTCAAGATCTGTGTAGTAGTCTGTTCCCTCTCCCTGGAATGCTCTTTCCTCCTGGTCAGGAGTTCAAGACCAGTCTAGCCAACACAGTGAAATCCCATCTCTACTAAAAACACAAAAAATTAGCCGGGTGTGGTGGTATGCGCCTGTAATCCCAGCTATTTGGGAGGCTGAGGCAGGAGAAATCACATGAGCCCGGGAGCCAGAGTTTGCAGTAAGCCAAGATCACACCATTGCATTCCAGCCCAGGTGACAGTGAGAGACTCCATCTCAAAAATAAATAAATAAATACATAATCCCAAAGAAATCTAATTTAGTCATTTAGGCCTTGATTTTACACCACTGACTTAGTTTGAAGGCTGTTATAAGAACCAGCCCTATGAAACTGATATTTTTCTACTACAAGGTGGCTATACTTTAAGACAATTTTTCATTGCATTGTATCAAGTGACGTCTTATTATATCATTATCTCAAGTGACGTCTTGCTATAAATAGTAAGAATCAGATTAAGGGTTCATATTTCCTTCTTTGTACTGACTGCTAAAAAGGTATAGGGCCAAATTTGTGGTTACGTCTAAAATTATATTTTGGGGGGGAGTCTATTACCTTCATATTTATCCTATCTAAATTTTCCATTGTCAAATTTCCTTACTTATTTTTAGTTTTATCCTATTGCTCATGTATTTTTATGAGTCTCTATAAGTCTATTTTGGAAAAAGGCAGAGTACTCATAATTTTAGTATATCTTTTAGCTTTATGTTGCCATAAACCTTTCATTACATACATGATCAACGATAGCAAATTATCTCACCTCAGTACTTATTTTACTATTCTGCAAACTGATTTATGATTGCTAACATTAACTGAAGGTATACACTACTAGAACACAGTTTTCAGTAGAAAGTAGCACTGCCATTAAGTAATAAAATGTCCTAACATTAGAAAAACATTCTTATAAAAGTTTGCATGTTGTTTACTGAGGTCTAAAGCATAACTACAAAAGGCTGAATAAAACTCAGATGCTTACACACGCACAAAATTGTTTTATTGAGATGACAAAGTGTATTTATTATACCGCCCAGAATATAATCCACTCTGATAACTGCCAGTTTATGTACTTGCTGAAGTAACTTGGTACATAAATAGTAGCCGTAACAGTTGCTGTGCATGAAAGTTCTTTTCTTCCAGATTTAAGAGTGTGCAATCCAAAGCATTTTAAAACTTTAAATCCCTTATTTATTAGCCTAAATGTAAGTTAAAATTTAAGTTTGCCTTACCTATAATTTGTCTGTACACTAGGTTACTAAGGGCAGTATGATTACATATGTGAACACAAAATAATTTTAACAGAAAATGAAATCATTGTACTCAACAAAGATAAGGGATAATGATCATGTAGACGAACTGTATCTGAGATTAGTTTAAGCCTGGGTAACTATATTTATGTTTCACAGACCTGGAGAAGACAGGAAAAAAGCTTTTATCAACATTGCTAAGGAACAGGTAAAAGTGAACATTAGGTAACTGAGAGGTGACATAAAAAAGATTGAATAAAGTATCATGGAGATTTCATAATGAGATTGGAAATTCAATAGACTACAGGAAAAAAATCCCAAAACATACATGCTCACTGGGAAAACACATAGTAAGAAAAAGGAGAGCTCTCTCTTTAATGATACAATAGTAAAGAGTTATAATTTCCTGTATAATGTAAATTTCAAGCACTTAAACATTTTCATTGAATTATAAAATACTATTTGGAAAAGAAAGAAAAACTGCACAACTGCAGATTACAGATGACCAAGATAGATGAATCATGAAAAGGTGCTAGCAGAGATTTCTGTCACACCTATCAGGGATACACAATTTCTAAGAATTTCAGAAGTGTTTGGTGTTCCTTTTAATGTAAATCCTGAAATAACACCTGAATGAACTGTATTCTAATTCTTCAACTGGATGGCTTTTTAGTGTAAAAGATGTTGAATACTGATTAACTTTTTAATAAATTATTTTATAGTATAAATTAGAAATACTGCATAGTCAGTATTTACGTCTTTCTACAGTGGTTTTTAAAATGTTTTAAGAATAAAAAAGTATGCAAACTTTATTTGATTTTTCTGAGGAAATAACTTTTTGGATTTAACTTCAATGAAACCATTGATAACATTTCCCTCCCCAGGGATCTCTGGCGAAGATCCCTCAGATTTTAAAGATTATGTATTACTACCTTTTAATACAAGTAGAATAACACTCAGGGAATTTACAACATTTGTTATTGTAAGTACATTGGTTGAAGTTTTTAAAAAATCTATCCGTAGTAAACTTACATCTTTCGGGAGCTTGGTCAATGTGTTCTGGACAAAGCAGGAAGATGTGACTGAAATCCTGAAAGGTGCCGGCTCCTGCAGCACAAGGATAATGATACATCTGGGTACATTTCTCTTCACAGCATTTGATAGTGGCTCCAAGGTGCTTACAAAATGCACATCGCTGAAAGGGGTAAAGGAGAGAAATCTCTTTATAAAACCTTGAAAAGGGATATTCAAATATAAGCTGGGAAGGTGTAAAAAACTCTCTGTATATCACAAGTAAAACAAATTGAACCTGCAAAATATTAAACAAAGGATTAGTTAAAAATAACAAAATCTACATTACTCAATTTAGTACTTTGTGTGCTACCAACTCATCCTTCCATTCAAATTAGAAAGTTAGAATTTCACTTTTTCCTTATAGTTTCAAAAATAAATTCTGAAGCATTTTTGAAACAAAAACCTAAAGATTTTTTAAAAAAGCAAATAGTAATGTGGTTAAAAGGGCAGGTTTCTATATTGAGGATTATTATAAAGTTTTTAAATCCCACCAAAACCAGTAACAGGAATATATATTATTTATGAGACACATTACTATTTTTTACCCAGCCTAGAAATAAATACAAAATAAACTCATCAATTATAAGTTAACAGGGACACAAATGGTTAAAGACTCACACACAAAAAATTACATACTTCAATGCAGCAATCAATTTCAAATTTCTTAACAAAAGATGGAAATGCGGGGAAAAAAATTAGTCATCTGATATCTTTCCCATTTCAACCTGCCTCCATTATCTTGCAAGTGGTAAAACACACAGAAATAAGCCCCAAACAAGAGGGGCAGTCTAGGGTAAGTGAACACATAAGAAGTCAGAACAAATTATCTAAAATGTTGCATTTACTTATTCAGTTTTCCCTTAGAATGATTCATAAACTCTTCCTCATTCTCCCAAGTCCACTTTGAGCATCATTTTCTTTGAGCAGAGTCTGATGGACCCTGTACCATACAGTATGAAATCTCTCTGTGGGAAATGCCTATCTAATACATATTTTTGTTTACACCATTACATGATCATTGTTTATCTTTTCCTCATCCTAGTCCAAGATCCTTCAATCGTGGTGCCATACTATCTTTGTATCCAAAGCACCAAAAATGCTGCTTGATATAGGCCCTAATAGATAGGTGTTCCTGTTTATATATACCAAAAAGACTTAACTTTTGGTGATCTTGTTTGTAAGTATGGCTCATAAATAGCTTAGTTGAGATAACTGGAGCCTCATGTAACAGAGACAGTTGGACCCTGCTAACATTACTGTGGATATCTTCACATGTTACTACACTGACTCTATATTCTGCTAATTAACCAGAAACTACAGTAGTTAAAAGTATAATTGTTTTCAATGTTTTATGTATAAATCTGTATATCATATAATATCAAACTCTTCCTCACTGTCATCAGTCCACTGCATTGAATCAACATAACAAAGCTAAGTGACTCGAGGGCTGAATCAGAAAGAACTAAGAATAGAAAAAGATATAAAAACTTGGCCGGGCACAGTGGCTCATGCCTGTAATCCCAGCACTCTGGGAGGCCAAGGCAGGCGGATCACGAGGTCAGGAGATCGAGACCAGGATAATCCTGGCTAACATAGTGAAACCCCATCTCTACTAAAAATACAAAAAATTAGCCGGGCGTGGTGGCAGGTGTCTGTAGTCCCAGCTACTCGGGAGGCTGAGGCAGGAGAATGGCATGAACCCAGGAGGCGGAGCCTGCAGTGAGCCGAGATCACGCCACTGCACTCCAGCCTGAGCAACAGAGCCAGATTCCATGAAAAGAAAGAACAAAAGAACGAAAGACAGGAGGGAAGGAGGGAGGGAGGAAGGGAGGGAGGAGAAAGAAAGAGAAAGAGAGAGAAAGAGAGAAAGAAAGAAACAGGGAGGGAGGGAGGGAGGGAGGGAGGGAGGGAAGGAAGGAAGGAAGGAAGGAAGGAAGGAAGGAAGGAAGGCAGAGAGGAAGGCAGGAAGGCAGGAAGGCAGGAAAAAGAAAGAAAATTAAAGCAGAAAAAAAGAAAGCTAAGTGACTCTTGGTGTATCTTCCACAAATTCTGACTGCAAGGCAATAGACCACTATAGCTTCTAAATAACTCATAAACACTAATTACAGTTGTGACACTTTAATTTTACATAAATATACAGAATAACATTTCAGTTCTATTTTGGCACTCAAGGGTATTAATGCATTAGAAACACAGAAAAAAATAAATATCTGTCTTCATTGATAAAGTGTCATAACAAGCTTTCACAATACAGGTAATTTTTTGTATTATAACTCCCAAGGTATCTATATAAATATGTTTAGTGCATTAACAGAACCCAGAATTAACTACAAATACAACACCTTGGGTAGTCTAAATGTCTGAACAGAAAGGCCACATAAATGTCGAGAGAAAAAGTACAATCAATCTGTTGAAAAATGTTTATAACAACTCATTAACATAACAAAATAATTTCTGCTGAATTGATAAAATCTAAAATCGCTTATTTTGATACCATATGGAAAGTTTTGCAGAAGCCTTTTGCACTAAAAATCATCTTGGCAGACAAAATATAATGAAAGGTAAGTATATAATAACATAAATAATTTAAATTCACCATCTTCTCAGTGTCTTTCTCATTTTAGAAATACAAATATGTTCTCTTAATCAAACCTACAATGAAAAATATTATATGACATTAGCTAAACTACTATGAAAAGTACTGGAATATATCTAACATACTAATTTACAATATCATATAAAGATATCAGTGAATACAGGAAGGAAAATATAACACCACATTTAGGAAAACACTTCAAACCCATCGGTTACAATTACATAGCTAATGAAGAATATTCGGCATTAAAAGAAAATGTTTACTATATATACATAGTCTGGAATGTATCTTCCTAAACCAAATAAACAGTACTTGTAAAATTGTAGACAATATCAAAGAATGAATTTCGACAGGGAACTTCTCAAATGTCAACACTCTTATACACTACACGTAAAAGAAACCGAGCAAGTTAAAATATTAATAATATAATAAGTAACATATATAATACATAAGTAACAATTCCAAAGCTAATTAACATTTGGGGAGGAGGGATAAAGAAAATAGCTCTTGGCTGGGCATGGTGGCTCATGCTTATAATCCCAGCACTTCGGGAGGCTGAGGCAGGTAGATTATTTGAGCTCAGGAGTTCAAACCCAGCCTGGGCACCATGGTGAAACGCCATCTCTACAAAAAATACAATAATTAGGTGGGCATGGTGGCGTGCACCTATAGTCCCAGCTACTCACGAGCCTGGGGTGGGAAAATTGCTTCAGCCCAGAAGGTTGAGGCTGCAGTGAGCTGTGATCATGCTACTGCACTCTAGCCTGGGCAACAAAAGTGAGACCCTGTCTCTAAAATTTAAAAAAAAAAAAAAAAGTAGCATGTTATAATGTTATAATATTTTCCCATATTAATCCAAGAACACAATAACAATAAGAACAAAAACTCAGTGAGAGCTCATATTACCAGTTTTAAGAACAAGTCTGAGGAATTTTCAAAACTTTTCTTTAACAGATTGAAATAAGAATCTGTCAAAATATATTTATAAAACAAAACAGAATGAACAAAATTTCTGAGATTAAAGTTGTATCATAAAAAAATACCAAGAAGTTAAATATTCCACAGTTCGTTTAATTAACTATCCAGTATTTATTCTGTATCAACTATAGCAATGGTCTTAGGCTACGTACTCTAATAAATAAGTATTATAAGGCTCCCCATGCTCCAAATTTGTTTTTAACCTTCACCAATCTTTTCTTAGTATTAGGCAACTAGGATTCTCCCAGGATGCAGTAATAAAGAACAAAGATGGAAAGTAAGAGAAAGAGGTAAAATGACATGAAAATCTGATCCAGAAGGTCCAATGTCTGTTTTTTATGAGTACCAGAAAGCGAGAAAACGGGAGGGATTTTAATCACCAAAATTCTAAAGGAAAAGTTATGAAAATATCTAATAATAAAAGCTGACATTTAATTAAGCATAATCCTCATTCAACAGATGAGGAACCTAAAACACAAAGAGTCATTATCACTGTTCCACTTATCTCTACATCCCTACAAAAATACCCACTCTTAATCTGTAACAATGCCTCCTTAAACTCCCTGAATGGCAGCTTCAGGTAAAAACTTCCCAGATAGTTTGAATAACAAGGATAAAAGGAAAATTCTTGGAGCCATATAAAGAAGAAAACAGATCATTACAAAGAAAGAAGAATCAGGCATCAGTTCTCATTACCAATACTGAATTAAAAAGAAACCCCAAAAAATCATTATTTTCCTAGGTCTATAAAAAATTATTTAAAACCAAAATTTTAATGCCTGTTAAGCTAACATTCAAGTCCATAGAAAACAAATGTAAACAGGTTAAATTCTCTAGTAAAAGATAGCAACTTTCAAAACATGCAAAATATACTACTTACCACATATACATATTTTACATAAAACTACACTACAGACTTCATTTATGTATGTGTGTGTGTGTGTACAACATATATAATTAAAAAATGAACGAAATACTTTGGATATTTGTCCCTGCCAAAATTTCACAGTGGGCTGTAATTCCCAATGTTGGAGGTGGGGCGTTATGGGAAGTGTTTGGGTCATGGGGGCAAATCCCTCATGGCTTGGTGCTATCCTTGCGATAACGAGTGAGTTCTCACAAGATCTGGTTGTTCAAAAGTGTATGGCACCTCCACCCCTCTCCTTTGCTCCTGTTCTTGCTCTATGAGATGCCTGCTCCTCCTTCTCCTTCCACCATGATTTCTAACTTCCTGAAGCCCTCACCAGAAGCAGATGCCAGCACCACACTTCCTGTACTGTCTGTGGAATCTTGAGCCAATTAAACCTCTTCTTGTTATTAATTACCCAGCAATAGGTATTTCTTTATAGCAATACAGGAGCGGCCTGATACTATATATATATATACACACACACTCATACACAGTGACATACACAACTCAAAAACAGACTTGAGGGGAAAAAACACAAACAAATGCTATCCAAAAAATGCAGGTATAGCAATAATTCCAAAGAAATAGAATTCAAACTAAAAAGCAATGAACAAGTCAAAGATAGTATTTCATAATA